GTCATCCGATTGGCCCACGAGGGAACAAGAGCTGCAACTTCACTTTCGCCGCGCTCGGCGGCGTCTGGGACTGCTGGCGCGGCGCCGTAGAACTGCAGCACAGTTCTTGCACTCTGGCGAAGGGCACACGTGTCTTGCTGCATCCAGCTGCTACTGGCAGCCGGACTCAGCTGCCAGTGCACAGCCGGACTCCTTCACGCTCCGTGCACTCTCTGTACGCTCTCTTCGTACACGCTAGGTTCGGCACGCGCAAGACCGGGCGCGCGATGCGCTTCCCCGAGTGCGCCACGTCTCGCGACGTCGCCGACGACGCCGCGGGCAAGCGGCGGGCGACCAACCCGTTGGGTAACATCACCTCGCCGGCGATCGTGCGCAGCGCCCAAACCGCGCCCCTTGTGTGTAGCCGAGCCAGCAGCCGCGAAGACGCATCCTCGACATTGCTGTGTTCGGTCGTATTCTCGCGACGCTCTGACTGCACCACACGACGCCGTGAGATCACGCCCTCTTCCCCCCGCATTCCCACCCGTACAGGTCCTCAGCCCCGTGCTAGCGGTGGTCGCGCTCGCGGCGGCCAAGCTGGCTGCCACCCGCTTCTCGATCGCCTGAGGCCGCGACTCTCGACTCCCCGCCCGCCGCCGGCCTTTGGTCCCTTTCCCGCCCCCCCCCCCCCCCCCGAGTCCTGGGGGCCGGGGGGGAAGGGGGGGGCTGCGGGAGACGCGACTGACGGCGACGATCGGGGCGCGCGACGTCAGTCGCGACACGTGTAGGACTACGAGTTAGGAGTGTCAGCGGTAGAGCGCCGCCGGGGCCACAACACCCGGTGGGCGCATATGCTGGAGAGAGAGAGCCACAGTCTCTCAGCGCGTGGGGGGCGTGGCCATGCAAAGCGATGGGATTTGTGGGTCGCGGGTAGAGGGTTAGGAGCGCGTACAGTGGTTAGTGCAGCAGCTCGAGTGCAGCAGCGTGATCAACAAAACCATGTTTCGCCGTTCTTTTTTTACTTTTGTTTTCATGGGAATTCGGCGTATTGCGGCGCCATCGGTTCTCTGGTAGGACGGGAACGAGATGATAGTAGGGAGTAGAAGAAAGCAAAGAGGAGCCCTGCGCACGCACGACTCCGCAGGAGAAACCCCTTCACAGAAAACTGCGGCCGCCAGCGACTGAGCGTCTCGCTGGCGGACGGGGAGAGGAACACAAAGGGACGTCCGGACGTCCATCCACTGGGATGAGAATACTGCTTACTGGAGATCTGAGGTCGAATCTGCCGATTCCACAGCCGCCCACAGGAGCGCCGCCTCAACACGGGGTCTCGGCTCTATCGAGCCATGCTAGCTCCAGCCGCAGCCCCACCCGGCCGCCCGAGGGTGTTCCCGCAGGCAGAGAAGACCAATCCTGGGGGAAGTAACCCTATCACGCCTTGCGACAGCCTGTCGGCGCTGCTGACCGTGCCACCTCTCTGCTGCACAATTGATCACCTCGACCTGCATAGCTCCGCGGCCTTAGTATCCAGCATTCAGTGACTACCTGATCGTACGGCCAGTATAGGAAGGTGTCCTTCCAGCTGCGTGCACGCTTCTGACGCAAATCGCAATGCATTCGCAACGCAATATATGCGCGTCACACACACTGCCTTGGATATTGGCTGCTGCCCGCTGGCACTCTCGAGGCTATGCCTACACAGCCTCGCGCGCATGGCAGTCAAGAGGAACCACGCACCTTCTCAGGACAGCGCCGGCGCCTCTCTCTTGGACCGGCAAACGTGTGGTGTCGTGTCACCAATGTGCGACCAGTGCGGCATCGCGCCATCGACAGCTCTGAACTGCGCCTCACCACTGACCGGGAAGGCCGCCAAGGGGCCAGCACAGGTCGCACATTGTGGCAGCAGTCAGCAGTGCATGTCTGATAGCTAGAGCAGCAGCGTCGGGGTCGCAGGGTTGGTCGGATCGTGTCAAGCCTCTCGCCCGGCCGGCCGCGTGCAGACGTCGGCCTGTCTGCTGTCTGGAGTGATCTGTCGGCGGTCACGGGTCACGCGCCGCTCGGGAGCCGCGGCGCAGCCTCCAGAGACTGCAACGACAGCGAGCATACGCGCACGCGACTAAGCAGCTAACTCGAGGGGTTTCCTCAATCAACCGAACGCACTAGGCTGGCGAAAAAACCGGGGCGCGGGATTAGTGCGCGACGGGACCCTTCCCGGGCCCCTCCGGGGGGGGCCCGGTGCACCCGGTCGGTGCTAATAGAGATAGTAATAGAGCCGGGGCCCCGTTTCCGCACTGCTGCGCGGCGCACGGTGCCTCCGGGCCGGGCCCCCCCGCGCCCCCCCAGAAACCCCCCCCGGGTAAACCCCGAAAATTCCCGGATTTTCCTAGGCATGTTCGGGTATTACCCGCTAGAGATCGCCGTGGGTCACTGGTAGGCCTTCCTTATTGTTGTTCAGCTGGCCTATCGGCTAACGCGTTAGCTGCTGTAGTTTGTTGGGGCGCCCCACTGTTGTTCTGTTGTTACTGTTAACACTAGCAACACCCAACACTGTTCAGCTCCCAACGTTTGGCAGCTCTAAGGACTAAGCCTGGTGGAGGCCTCGACCATTTCACGCCGCCTAAGTTCTTTTTCTGGGAGTTGCATTCTAAATTTATTTGGGTTTACTTGTGTTCCTGTTAGTGCCAGTGCGCGCCAGTCCCGTGGCCGTGCCCAGTGTTGTGCGAGAGGTTACCAAATTCTTTTTTTCGGCACGGGACTGGCTCCTGTGTTTAGTGCCAGTGCGCGCCACCGCCAGTCCCGTGCCTAGCCCTAGGAGATAATTCCAGCAGCCACGCCCACGGCCACGCGCTAAAATTCTTTTGGTGTGTGCCGTACCCGACCCCCCCCCCCCACGATTTCTTTCGTCATCGTTCTTTTCTCTTTTGTTTTTAAAACTGCGCTTCTCTTATTCTATGTTCTTTTTTCGCACACCGTCCTCGCAGGAGTCGCTTAGGTGGCTCCCGTGGTGTACCTGTGTCTCGAGACCTGTGTTAGTGCCAGTGTTTGTTATGACCCCCCCCAGTGAACACTCCAGTGAGGGAGGGCGAGACGATCGAGGGGTCCCGTACCATGCGGAATCGACCCTATCCAGTGCTCACAAGTGCTCAAGTGCCAGTGGCAGTATGCGCGCCAGTCCCGTGCGGCCCAGTTGTGCGAGGGAGTTTTGTTGTCTAGAACTTACCCAAACGAGCGATTTCTTTTCCCCGTTCTTTTGTTTTGTTTCGTCGCTGGCTGGTGCGGGCTGCGCTTTGTTTGTTTGCCACACACACGCACGCTTTTGGGGTCACCCCCCCCCCCACCCCGAAAGAAAGAAAGAAAGAAAAACAGACAACCCAAGGGAGGGATGGGAGGACGGCACGCGCCGCCACCACACAGGGATTTTAAGGAGAGGAGCCGGCGCCCACCCTAACCCTTGGTCGTCTGCCTCTTTCTATCTCCCTTCGCAGTCCCTCGCCGATTCCTCGCTGCAACCTTCTTTTCACCTTTTGTCGTCGCTCTCCTCTTGAGCTCTCGAGAGAGAGAGAGAGAGAGAGAGAGAGAGAGAGAGAGAGAGAGAGAGATCTCTCTCTTGAGCTCTCCTCCCTCTCTCCGACCCGCTTTTCTTTTTCGGGCTCCGCCCAAGAGCCTGCAGAAGCGCGTCGTGCAACAGGCTCACTGCCCGCTCCGCGGGCCACCGCACCCGCACCCGCACCCGCGCGCCGCGCCGCGCCCGCGCCGGCGCCGCCAACGCACCGTGTGCGCCACCGACGCGCTGCGCGCCCGCCGCCGCAGGCCCGATGGCGCGCAATGAGGAGAAGGCGCAGGCGATGCTCAACCGCTTCGTGGTGGCGAAGCGGGACGCGAACCGGGTGGACATGACGAAGCGGCCGTACCTCGCCTCGGAGTGCGAGGACGTGTCGCACTGCGAGGTTTACCGCGGCCAGATCCTCAAGGAGCTGTCGAAGAAGGTGTCGCTCATCCAAAACGAGGGGCTGGATGAGCACCGCGTGCGTGACCTCAACGACGCGATCAACAAGCTCATCCGAGAGAAGGGGCACTGGGAGCGCCAGATCAAAAAGCTAGGAGGCGCCCGCGCCCCACCACCCCCTCCGCCCCCACGCCCGCCGCCCGCCGCCCGCCGCCCCCCTCCTCCGCCGCCCTCCACCGCTCCCCCGCCCCAGCCCCGCCCCGCCCCGCCCCACGGCTCGACCTTACCGCCCGCTCCAAACCGCGTGCGCGTCAGGCGCGGACCACTTTCGGACGGCGCCGCGGTTATTCGAGGACGACGCGGAGGAGGTTGCGACCACACCGCTCACCCACACTTTGAATGCCGTGCCAGCTCCTCTCGTCTAGACGTGGAGTCGCGTTTGACTAGCCTGGCCCTCGCCCCACCACCTTGCGTGTGTGTGGAGAAGTTCACCGTACCTTCCCTTACCTTAGGTTGTGCCGGGGAGAGGGTCGACCCGCTGACTTTACCGCCGCCCGAAGGCCGAGCGACCGCTCCCTGGAGCCTTCCCGACGCCGTGAATAGGTACCGCTACTTTGGCGCCGCCAAGAAGCTGCCGGGGGTACGAGAGCTCTTCCGCAAGCGCGCGGCCGGGGGCGGAGCGGCAACCCTCCTGGTCTGTTTGTGTCTGACAGCCGGCGTGTCTTTCTTGTCTTCAGGCGCGCGCCCGAGCGCGAGAAGCGGACGCGATTCGAGATGATGAAGGGCATCGACGCCGACTACTACGGGTACCGCGACGACGACGACGGCGTGCTCGAGGAGCTGGAGCGGGCGGCGGAGGAGGGCTCCCTCCAGCAGGCGCGCGAGGGCGGGGAGGGGCAGCGGGCAGGCACTTTTCCGAGAACGTTCCGAGACACCTCAGAGCTCTCGAGGCACCGGAGCTTCCTAGCTGGAGAGCTAGCTGGAGAGGGAGGGGAGGGCGGGGGGAGGGGGAGGGTGTGTGTGGGTGTGTGGGGGGGGGGGCGGGGGCGACACACTTCCAACACTTCCGAGACACCTCCGCGACGTTTCCGCAACACCGTTCGGACCCTCCAGCTGGCGCGCCAGGACGCAGACACCTTCCTACCGAGCCAGACCTGCCAGAGACACCTGCAAGAGACCTCCCGCCTTCAGGACGCGCAAGCAGGCGCCTGCCTCCTCCTCTCTCTCCTCACACGCCGCGTCTTCCTTTTTGTCTGCAGGCGCGCGAGGACTGGGAGGCGCGCAAGGCGGCGCGGCTGGCGGCGGGCGAGCCCGGCGGGCGGGGGCCGAGCCGCCGGCGACGCGCCCCCGCGCTGAACCTTCTCGGAACTTTCGTGCAGGCGAGCCGGCGGACGAGGAGGAGTCGGACGGGGAGGGCGACGGCGAGGACGCGCGGAGAGCAGAGCGGTTCCAGGTGCTCTCGCCGCTCCCGCCCTCCCTGCGCCTCTGCTCTCGCGGTCCCTCTCCCCTCGGCGAGGATGCCTCTCCCTCCCCTTCGCCGCCTCTTCCCTCCCAAACTGCCCCCCTCCTCCCTCTCTCCCGACTGCCCTCGCCGCCTCCCACTCTCCGCCTGTACCCGCCTGTACCTCACCGCCCTGGCTCCATGATCTCTCTCTCCCCAGCCCTCATCCACTCCCCCGCACCTTCCAGGAGGCGCTGCCAGACCGCGAGGCGATCGAGCGCGCCATCCTCGAGAAGCGGAAGCGGGAGATGCTCGCGATGCTCGGCGGCGGCGACGCGGGCGGCGCGCCCAAACACAAGGAGGAGGGGTCGATCAACCTCGTGCCGAAGAGCTGGTAGCGAGGGAGCTGCCCTCCCGCGGCCGCCGTGTCGCAGTGGGGCAGCGCCGGCCTCGGCATGGCGCGTACTTAAACTACTAACATTGTCGAGTCGGTCCGGCAGACTGAGTCCAGGAGAGTCGAAGCGCATGGAGTTTAGAGAGCGGGCAGCGTCACGGGGAGAGAGGTTCCAGGGGCAGGGCCGCGCGCTCACAGTGTGTCGCTGGTGTGTCGACTGTCGTGTGCCGTGTGTGCCGGAGGTGTGGCGTTGCGTTTATGCTGTTTTCATGTTCTGTCCCTTAAGAATTGAGAGGAACACGCTAGCAAACACACGAGATACCAACGAACCGCATTACTCGCGAGCTCGTTTTCTCATCTCCTAGAGCGCGTCAGTCTCAGTGACAGAGTGTCGTTATTCTCCCCTACCGCCCTAGAATGTAGAAACTTGCTACTTGGTACTGCATTGTTGAAACGTGGGCCTACCAAGCGCCGAGAACAGGCCGTGTGCCGCGAAAGTAGACCTCGGGTCACCGGTCACATGTCTGGGGTGGGGGGGGGAGGGGGGGGGGGGGCAGTCAGGGGGGTGGGCCCGAGGCGCGAGGGGCGCCGGCGGGAAAAAGGGGGCAGTGGCCGAGCGGTGGCGGCACACATGAGCTCAGGTCCGCGTTGGAGGCGGGCACGAGCGCAGTGAGGCCGTCCATCTCCTTGGTCAGCACAACACACGACGCCAGCCGCGAGCTGCGCGGAGCGGGGGCGTGCAGTCGGGTCTCGGGCGGTGGGGGAGACACGCTGTGACGCTGCTCCCACTCCCCGTGCATTCGCGCTGCTCGGCGCGCACTTGGGCTGCACGTGATCGGCGGCGCTGGCATCGAGGAGCTCCTGCTCCTGCCAGCTGCACGGGCCAACCTTCTCAAAGTCGGCCACCGGAAGCACAATGTGGTCCTCGACTGAGCCGGGACCCTCGCCGAGCGTCACATAGTCCCAGGGCGAGTCGGCGCGCGCGCCGTGCAGGGGCAGCCCGTGGTGCTTTGCCGTCTCCAGCAGCGTCCAGCCGACCATTCCCGCCACCGTCACTCGCTTCTTGTGCTTCTCAAAGATGAAGTTGACCTTGAGCCTGCGGGCGGGCGCGGAGGGCGGCGCGGCGTGTCGGCGCGGGGCTCGGCGCGGCAGCACAGGCGGCAGGGAGCGGCGCGCTGGGGCGGGAGCTCACGAGCTGTCGGCGACGGTCGCGAGACGCCGCACAGCCGCGCCGCGCCGAGCAAAGCCTAACATTTTTCGCTGCCCGGCTCGGTTCAAGAAGAAAACCATCCCAGACAACACAGAACACCAGCGGAGCCCGGTCGGCTCCATCCCCACGCCCCACTTCGCCGCCTGCCAAATCCGTGTGGGGGCGCCTGGCACCGCGGCGCGATTAATTCTTTAAGTGAGTTGTTGTAGTAGCAATCCTGGTCTGCGCTGAGTCCTGAGACGCAAGGATTGCGAGGAGTGCTGCTCACAGCCCCTAGTGCGAGACAGAATGTAGGTAGGTAGGTAGGTAGCAAGGTAGGAAGGTGAAGAACAGTCAGGCTCGGACTGGACACCAGCGCGGTATGGGTGGACGCGGGACAGGACACAGGAGAGTTGACTGACGGCACGCGTGAACGACACACACACACACACAAGCCGTCACAAGACACTCAGCCATCTGGGCTGCCACACATCACGAGTAAGCGTACGGCACTACGCCACTCGCGGCCACGTCCCCCCCGTCGCCCCCCCCAGCACCCAACCGAGCCCCAAGAGGCGGCTAAGGCACAAACAACAGCACAACATCACAGACAGGCGCGACAGGGCACGCGACGTGTGAGACTAGAGCAGGACTACAGCAGGCTGCTCCGCCTCTAGCAAACTCGCCGGCTGGCGGGGCACGGACGAGCACGCGTGTGGGTTCTTGTGAGGTGTCTATTGGACGCTCCCTCGCGAGCGAGCGACGTATGGGTAATTTGGCCTGTGCGCGTTATTCTCGAATATCTTTGAGAATATAGAAGGTCCCGCGCACTTTCATATTCGAGAATATTCTCGAGAACATAGATGCCCCGGCCGGCTTTTCCCTCAAGAATATACGAGCTTTCCGCAGCCCTTGCTGAGGGAGGGTGTAGAGGATGTAGAGTGTAGAGCGCTGTAGAGCTGTAGAGATGTAGAGCGCTCTGGAGCGCTGTAGAGCTGTAGAGCTCTAAATCCGGCGCGTGACGATGTGAGTCCGATGTAGAGCGATGTAGAGCGCGATTTTGTTGTAGAGTTTGTTGTAGAGGCTCTACAGCCAAACCGCCGGGAAGGCAGTTAACTCAAAGAGGTCGATCCGCGCTAATGGGGTGTCTCCGAGCTTACTGGAGCTCTGATGGACGGCCCTGACTATCCCTGACACACAGAGAGTCACTCTGACGGCACACAACACCCTATAACTGCGTCATGACCAGCCTGCCATGCGTCGCCGGTGCCGCATTCGTCGCAGTGCTTCTTTAGCAGGCGGTGGACTGTCGGCTGCGAGGACGGTCGCATTTGCGCGAGGCGAGGCGAGCATTGCTGCGCATTGCATGCGCCATGACTCGCGCCAGCGCGTGCGGGAGCTCCTGGCTGAGCGTTGAGTCCAGGCGAGTTGCGCTGGCCACGATCGTAACGCCGAGCCGAGCTGACGCGCCGAGGCGCCGGTCAGTCGCAGCCGTGAGGCATGTCACTGCAGCAGAGGCACCTGCCACCCATTGGGCGGGCAGACAGAAGGCCAGGGCAGCACTGGCAAGCGCAACGCGCCTCATGTCGGAGAGCGACCGTGCCTCGTTCGCCGCTTATGATGTAGAGTTTGTTGAGCACTTGAGCACTGGATAGGGTCGATTCCGCATGGTACGGGACCCCTCGATCGTCTCGCCCACCCTCACTGGTGTGTTCATTGGGGGGGGTCATAACAAACACGGTACAGGATCGAGGTGCACGCTGCCGAAGCAGTGTCGTCCCCCCTCTCCCCGACGGCGATGGCGGTGTGACCGATCGAGCTACAAGAGGAGCTTGTTCAGCAGGATCCGGGATAGTCAGATGCACTACTAGAGTTTGTTGTTGTATGATAGTAGTGTGGCAGTCTGGTCGGAGGGCGCCCGGGTCGCCCCGGAGCGGCCCCGCGCGGGGAGGTGGGTGGAGGGCGGGCACCACGCCATCGGGCAGGCCACGCGGGGACGCAGCCGGGGCCAGCGCGCGGCGCTAGAGGAGAGATTTCACGTTGTAGAGCGCCTCTACATCGCTCTACATCGGACTCACATCGTCCCGCGCCGGATGTAGAGCTCTACAGCTCTACAGCGCTCCAGAGCGCTCTCTCTACATCTCTACATCTCTATACCGCACAGTAGGTTTCAGGTCGAGAGAGAGAGATATTTTAGAAACCAGGTCGATGCCGACTGAAATCTTTAAGTTTTGGAGGTTCTGGAGCGGGTTTGGGAGCGACTTTTGGCACTTTGGAGCGATTTTTGGCCTCCGAGCTCCGTCGACCTGTCGGTCGAAATATTCTCCGTTTGTTGTAATATTCTCATTATTCGAGAATATTCTCGAGAATATAGAGGGTCGGGGAGAATATATGCAAAAGATAGATAGTACTGGGCGAGAATAACGCGCACAGGCTAAATTGGGTATGCCAGCCCGTGCTGCGGAGCAGCCTCGCCATTCGGAGCCGCATTCCGCCGGCACCGTCCTTGAGAGATTTTTAGAAGACAAAAAATCTGCACTCACAGTGACTTGGGCTCGGCAGCTTGTTCCTTGAGTGCGCCCCGCCGTGGCGAGACGCACTCGACGAGGACGGCTTCGCCGGCGGTACCGAGTCGCACAGGCCGGCAACAGTTGCAGCGAGGTGTGTGTGTGTGTACGAGGCGCCGCTTCGACGAAGCGAGGTTGGTAGGCGAGAGTCTGTCTGCGGGGCTTACGAGTCGCGCTGTTTGTTATGACCCCCCCCAATGAACACACCAGTGAGGGAGGGCGAGACGATCGAGGGGTCCCGTACCAAGGTACCATGCGGAATCGACCCTATCAAGTGCTCAAGTGCTCAAGAGTCTGCGGTAGGTAGGTAGGTAGGTAGGTAGAAAGGTGAAGAACAGCCAGGCTCGGACTGGACACCAACGCGGTATGGGTGGACGCTAGACAGATGATGACGACACGCACGAGCGACACACAGACACAAACAGGCTCACAAGACACACAGCCAGCGGGCTGCCACACACCCTGAGTAGGCGTACACATAACTCAAGGCCACATCCTCCCTGTCGCCCCCCCCTGCACTGCGTTCGAGTCGCGCTGAGTAAAAAAAATTGTGCGTGTCACGGCGTGGAGACACTCGACGATCGCGCAGTCCTCGAGTTTACGCCTTGGCCCCATCAATCCTCTCGATACTCCGAGCTTGTTCGCGCGCCCTGCACAGCGCCGCGGCGGCGACCTTTCGCACACCCACGCCCCTTCTCCTCCCTCCGCCCGCGGCAGCGTGCCTCGCAGCCACGCACGCCTCCGACCGCCGTCGCCGGTGCCCCACCGCCACAGGCTCTAATGGCCCATGCCCCCCACGGTCAGATGGAGCACGCCCCAACCGGGCGGGATTACGCGCCGCACATTGTGTGGAACGTCGTCACCCGTGCGCGCCGCCTCCCCCGCATACCCCCCCCCCCCCCACACACACCCACACATAAACTCAGCTCCGCCGCCACTGCCCGCTGCTGCAGATGATCTCGCACGGCCAGATCCGGCGCGCAGACTTCGCCGCCGGCCGACGCACAGACATAGCGTCGCAGGCGGCGATCCGGGCGGGGCAGCCCCAGGCGATCCAGTGCCAGCCCGGACTTGCCGCTCCGGGCACCGCCGTGTCGGTATCCGCCCCTAGAAGCGGATACGTGCTTTTGTGATCCGCGTATTCGGCTGTATTCGTACCCCGCATCTTCACGCGTTGCTCTGAATCCTCTGCACAATGTCGTATTCCCGCCCTAAGGTTGGCGTATCCGATATGTAGGTCTCCGCCCCGCCGAACCCGGGTGCTGCGGTTGACGTGTCGGTCCCTGCCGGTGGCGCTCAGCAGACGGAAGCGGCGCAGCAGCAGCTGGCACTGCAGCAGCAGCAGCAGGCTTTGCAGCAGCAGCAGTTGGCACTGCAGCAGCAGCAGCAGGCATCGCAGCTCTCGATGGCCCTCCCGATGGCGATGCAGCAGCAGCAGGCGATGGCGCAGCAGCAGCGCGCCATGGTGCAGCAGCAGGTGGCGCACCCACCCCGCTACCCCCCACTCGGCCTCCAACCTAGCTTCTTTGCCCGATCCCCGCCACATTGCGCCTCCTTTCCCAACTAAAGGGGGCTGACCCCCCCCCCCCCCCCCGTTCAGCCCGGCGGCGCCGCCGCCGTCGCTGTCAGCGCCCCCCCTCCGGGTGGCGGCCCTCCGGGTGGGATTCCCGCGTCCGGGCTACCCCCAGGGTACGGTCTCGGGCCCGAGGCGCTGGCTGCGGCCAGCGTCGCGGCCAGCGTCGCGGCCAGCGTCGCAGGCGGCGCCCCGGCGGCGTGCGCCCCTCCGGCCATGGTGCCCGGAGCACGCCCCCCTCGGCGGTGCCTCGGCTACTCCTCGGCGTCACCACGTGTGCGCTCCGGCTGCAGGCGCAACCGGGCCAGTTGGCGCAGCTGGGCTACGCCGACCCGCGCTTCTACCACGGCATGATGCCGACGCTGCCGGCCATGGCCACAGCGGTGCATTACCCCCCCGGCTACCCGGGGGCGTGCTTGGGCGCCTACCCCGCCCCGGGCCACCCCCCCGCGGCGGCGCAGTGGCCGCCGCCGCCTGCTGGTTTCGGATCATTCGCTTTTGCGCCGCCGTCCGCCAGCAGCGGTGGGATGCCACCCACAAGCGGCGGGATGCCGCCCACAGCGATGCGGCTGGTCGCACCGCCGCCGCCGGCGGCTCCGCCGACAATGGCGCCTGCGCCGGCCGTGGGCAGTAGTGCGCCGGGCTCGGCGTTGCCGGCGATTTCGCCGCAGCGGCCGCTGCCGCAGCCGATGCCGGCGCCTGTCCTGCCGACCGTGCCGACTGTGCCGGCGCCGGCTGTCACGCCGGGGCGACTCCCACCCCTCGAGAACCGCATCGCCGATGCCAGCCCGCCCGCCGCCGAGCAGCCACCCGCCTCCGTCGCGAGTGCGATCGCGGCCGCAAAAAGCGCGGCCCCAAAAAGCGCGGCCCCAAAAGGCGCGGCCCCGCCCGCGCTCGCGCCGTCGGCGTCCGCCGAGTCTGAGGGTGTGGACGAGGGGGCGGCGGCGGCGCTTCGCGCATTGGCTGGCGCCGGCGCGTCCTCTGCGCTCGTGGCCGCCTCGCCGGCGGCGGCCGGCGGCGAGACTTGCGCCTATCCCAACTACCCGCCGCCGCCGCCTTGCGGCAACAGTGGGCTCGCGGCGGACCGGTGGCAGCCATCGGCGGGCGACGTGATGTTGCTCGAGCGCGTCTTCGAGATGGAGCCGCTGCCGTGCCGCGCCACCCGCGAGCAGCTGGCGACGCACTTCAGCATCACCTCGCGGCAGGTGCAGGTCTGGTTCCAAAACAAGCGTCAGCGCGTGCGCGTGCGGGCGGCCCGGGACGGGTTGCTGCCCCCCCCTGGCCAGCCGCTCGAGAAGCGGCCTGCCGAGCCCAGCGACGCTGTCGGAGGGGGCGGTGGAGGGAGCGGTGGCGGCGGCGAGGCGGCGAGGGGTAGCGGCGGGGGCGAGGCCAAGGGCCAAGGGTTGGCGGCGAGCGCGGGCGGCGGCGCCCGCAGCGGCGGCGCCACCGGCCGTCCGACGCGAGAGGAATCGGCGAGCGAGTCCGCGCTCGACGGCTTGGTCGCACTCTTTGACCCCGCGGCGCGCGTGGCGCGGACGACCAGCGGTGGCCGCGAGATCTACCATCTCAAGACGGCCGCGTCAGGCGAGGGGGGCAGCGAGCAGGGCGCCTCGAGCGGGTCGGACTTGGTCAAGGCGGTGCAGGCGCGGCTCAAGCCCGCCGCCTTCGACCAGGGGCGGCTGCAGCCTAGGGCTGGCCACCACGGCCCCGCTCTGACGCCAAAGCTGAAGCTGCAACCGCGCGGCAGGGGCGCGGGCAAGCTGGGCGAGGGGGGCGCGTCCTCCCTGAGCCACGCCGAGGTGATGCGCCGGCTCGCTGCGATGGGCTGCTGTGAGAAGGACCCGCTCTGCACCCGCGGCTTCAAGCACGGGGGCAAGGGCGGGCCCTGTTCGCGCAAGCGCGTGCGCGCGGGCGCCGATGCACCCGCCACCGCGGCCGGCGGTGGGGCGGAGGCGGATGGCGGCGGCGACGGCGACGGCGACGGCGAGCCGCGGCTGCTCCTCGAGGCATGGGCCGAGGTGTTGCGCAAGTGCGAGGAGTCGGCCGACTGGATGCCGAGTCGCGTCCTGATCCAGCGCTGCCTCAACGCGGACGGCGTGAGCGCCGAGGCGGCCAAGCGCATCAAGCAGCTCCTCGAGCGGTGCGTTGCTGAACCCGACAACGAGCGTTCCCGTTCCTCGCTGCACAGGGTGCTCCTCGCCACGGGTCGGCCGATCGTCGCGCGGGCACCCGCCGGTTGGGGGTCGTCTGACAGCGAGAGCGACGAAGGCGGCGGCGGCGGTGGCGGCGGCGGCGGCGGCGGCGGGGTGGGGACGTACGAGGCAGCGAGGCTCGCGCCAGGGGACATTGGCCAGTGCGCGAAGGCGGGCTGGCGACGTTCACACGGAGTGCGCATGGAGGCGGTGGTTCTCACGGTCCGCGCGCACATGCGCTGTAGGACCCGCTGTGCACGCGCGGCTACAAGCATTGCGGCAAGGGGGGCCGCTGCTCGCACGCGCCCCGGCAGGCAACCTTCCTGCCGCGCCTCAACCGCAGGTGGCGGGGCAGCGAGATCGTGCCCGCCGCCGGCTCGGCTGCCGGCGCGGGGGACGGCGAGCCGGGTTTGCCCAAGAGGCAGGCCGTGGCGGCCGGCACGGACGTGGCAGGCCCCCCGACAAGCGCGAGTGGCGCCAGCGGGGCTGAGATCACAGAGGCGCCAGCCTCCGGCGAGAGCGCCGACGGCGCCTCCGAGCCCGGGGGCGGCTCGGGTGGGTCTAGCTCTGAGGGCTCCGGCGAGGAGGGGAGCTCGGATGAGTCGAGCTCAGAATCGGAGGACGACGACGATCGCGAGCTGGTGGAAGAGTCGCCGATGGAGGAGAGCCCCCCCCGCCGCCCCCCCACCTCAGACAGCTCCCCGAGCCCTTGACCACCGCTCGGCGGTCCATCGCAGGAGGCGCCAGCTTTGTTGGACGGGGGCGACAGCGAGCAGTAATTCGAGGCGGCGTAACTCGGCCTAGGTCGAATGCGAATAGTTTCGCACCGTGAACGCACCAACCATCCGCCACGCGCGAAAGACCGGGGCGATGCACCTTCTGAGTCTGTACTTTTCTCCTCGTGTTGCTTTGTACTTCACCCTTGCGCTTGTGTCCCCCCGCGCGGGTCGTACTACAGGACGCGCGTTTGGGCAACGACTTGTGTGAACACGCGCGATATACACATATTTACTCTCTCGCTACATTCAAATGAGTTCCGCACACGCACAGCCGGCTGCGCGCTGCGGGCCCCCATGACCCGCACACCCGCGCCGCCACCTCCGGCGCTCCGCCCGAGACCCTCCGTTCACGGCTATGCTAGAATGCTTAAAGCCGTACGTACCCAGAGGAACCCAGTACGACTTTTTTTTGCGACTAGAGAGAAGGTATAATATAAAGGGTTAGTCAAGGTAAACCAATTATAAATTTCTCTTGCGACTAGTCCCCCGCGCCGCCCCGCTTTCGGAGTCCACAGCCAATCGACAGGACTTTTGCATCTCACGCCGCCCGTGCTGCGGTGTGCGCGCACAGCTCTTGAGCGCTCGCTATCTATGGATGGCCGTCTGGCGCGGGCGGGTGGGGGTGGGTGCGTGCGATATCCCTCTTTGTCGTGTACGTACTTCTGTCGTCTGTGCACACGGTCGTTCTCTTCTTGTCGTACGTCAAGTCTCGCATCGCTCATTTCACAAATGGGCGCAACTACGCCATAAGAACGTCCGAGTAGCAAGCGCACATTCGCCTATATCAAAGGTAGCTCGCCGAAACGGCCGGTCCCTTTTATCCAACCGAGTTTGTTGGCGCTAGCGCTCCAAGTTTGTCAAGAGGGCGCACGGCCAGGCGGAGCGGCGGACCATGCTCGGCCTGCTGCTGCCGTTGGCCGCGCCGGCACAGGTGAGGCACGCAGCATGGTTCGACCATGGGCTGTTCTCCGCCTGCGAGGGAGGGTCGTACCCAAAGGGACTGCTCATCGACTTGAACAAGGAGAGGAGTGACGGCGGCGCGACAGTAAACAACCTCGGCGGCTACAAGGGCGTTGATGCTGGGGCGTGCGCCCCAATCTCCGCCGAGACGTTCACCCCAGGCGAGTGCGGCAGCTGCGGCTGCGGCTGCCCCGATTGCGGCCCCCCCTCCAGTGATCCAAAAGAGATGGTGCTCGGCCGAGTCGTACACGTCTTTGATGGCAGTGGGCTGAGCCCGAGTCAGGAGCTAGACCTGGTCATCACAAACATGACCACGTACATGCCGTGGACTTCAGCGGCCAACCGCGCGGTTGGCACCTTTGGCGAGATCAGCGTGGCCGCGAATACCGAGACCAAATTCCGCTTTTCGTTCCGGGACCCCGACACGGGGGAAGAAGTCGCAGTCGAGGCAGGTGACGTGATTCCCACTGCACCAGCGAGCGCCCCAGTTGCCCGACGTCCCTAGCCTGATCTGTGCCTCCCCCCCCCCCCCCCCCCCTGCGCTGCTTAGGCTACGAGTTTTGCTACATGGACTTTGACACGGGGCCCCAGCCGAACAATCTCAACGAGGAAATGAGGCTCTGTGGTTTCGACAATTACTTCTCGCACGGCAAGCTCCCAACGTATTCGACGACCAAGGATTACTTGTGCGAGAATATCCCAACGGCAGATTACATTCGCTTCACCGAAGAATCGAACGGCTGTCTCACAGCAGTCGCTCTGAAGGAGGGCAAGGGGTCGGACAACCCCAAAACGTGGAGCGATATTCTAATGAACCTCGACTCCTCAGGAGATGGCGATGGCCGCTTTGCCACGGAGATACTGCTGGGATCGTCCGGTCTTACGTGCGCGGACTACGACAAATGCCCCGCATCCGGACAGTCCGGATACAAACGCAAACTCATCGCGGACGACATAATCGAGTGCACCCCTGGCACGACGCACCCCCAGGCTGGCGTCTACCCAAATGGCCAGGGCCCGTCCGGGGTGATCGGAGAGGACCCGTTGCGCTACACGCTGCCCAAGTTCTTCTGCGCGCAGTACCCCGGCGGGACGAGTGGCTTTGAGGTCACCTACAAAGTCGGGCCGAGTGATTCGGGCATGTTTGGCAGAAACTTTGTCTTCGGCGGCACGGGGGCACCAAGCTCCTGCGAGCTGGTGCGCCTCCCCGCCCTCACTAAATCCCCCCCCCGTCCCTGACCCCGCCCATATCCCTGAATCGCGGGGGGGACTCCCCCCCCCCCCCCCCCCACCCCCACTCCGACGCACGCCATGGTCTCCGCGTTGGCCTCTCACATCCCAGCCACGCTGCTAGGCGTGCGAATCAACTGGATCGCCCGAGAAAGTGATCTTCGTCATCATACACGGGGCAATCGGCAACGAGTTCTGGAACACATGGTATGAAGGGGCGTACAATGCCTTGCCGCCGAACACGGCCGCCAAGCTCGTCTACCTGCGCACTGGCTACAGCATCCCCGCAACGGCGAATTACCTCGACCGAGCGTGCTCGGAGGCCGACGGCGTCATCATCAGTGTCCCATACGCGGATGAGGCGAGTCGAAGATCTATCGCAGACAGGATCAATTCGTGCCTAGAACAAAAGCCCGACAAGCCATACCTCCTCACCAACACCGACACCGCCTATGATATGACCGAGTACTTTTCTTCCGGCAGCCGGCTGTCGGCGACGTTTGACGGGTACATTGGCAGCGCCAACTATGACATGGGCACCACCTGCGCCATCCTCGCGGTCACAAAGAGCATGGACTCCGCCATGTCGGGCGTCCTGCCGACCGCAGATGCTGTTGATTCATCGATGAAGATCGCCGTCTACTGGTCCGAAAACGAGCAGGACAACGCAGGCATCGAACAGCGAAAAGAGGGCATCTACCAGGCGGTGCAACAGATTGGCGGCATGGACCTGGTCAAGGTGGGAACGACCGTGAGCGAGATCAGGCCTCTCTCACTCTCAGGGCACTACGTAATCGCCCTGGGAACGGGGGCGGCGTCGGAGCTGCAACAGGCTGGGGTGTCGGTAGACTTGCAGTGTGGCGACGACGTCGATCGCGGGCAGCTGTCATTCTACGGGCAGTCGACTTACACGCAGGGCCTGCAGGCGGCCGGGCAAATGTACGCGTATCTGATCCGGCCAACGGACGGCTTTGGCGAAGAGGGTTCGCCATCAGCCAACTTGCTGCCCGGGGCGCCGCAGCAGACGGTGGGAGTCGTCGGGGTCGACAGCGGCGAGTACGAGGTCGTGAGCCCCCCATACGAGCCAGCTTTCCAGCAGCCTAGCTGCCCGCTGAAGTTGGCCGTGATCACGCACGCTCCGACCACCGACGACATCCCGCCCAGCCCCCGCAAAGACGCGGACACCTTTTGGGAGATATGGTACGTGGGCTCCGAGGACTCAAAGCAGGACTTTGACATGACTTGGTACGCCTTGGGCAGTGATGCCGCCAGCATTGCCTCCGAGATGGCGAAGGAGTGCGACCTGGCCGACGCCATTGTAATAACGGTGCCCTTCGAAGAAGGATCATCGAACTACACCACGGTCGATAACGCAATCAAGGCCTGCCAGGACAAGAGACCCTACCTGCCCATCGTGACGACCAACACAGACACGTACCACAACCCCAAGGTGATCAGCTACGTCGGCTCGGACAATTTCCACATCGGGAAGATGTGTTCGTACGCGGCCTTTAGCGCCGACCCGCAGGTGTTCCTTGGCATCACGGAGCCCACGCCCTCTGCCGATTTGATTGAATCCACCTACATCATCGCGTACGTTCCGGCAGTCGACTCGCAGAACCCCAGCGTCCTGCGGCGCTTTGAGGGAATCGTGGAGCGGCTGAAAGAGATGGGATTCCCGGAAGGCACTGCGGTGAAGGCCACCAGCGTGGAGTTTGTGGAATCCTCTAAACGCGCAAGCAACAAGGACAATGTCAAGATCATATCCCTCACCTTCGGCGGGCTGGCAGACCTTGCGTGCGAGACTGGGGTCACCTGCGACACAAAGGCCGACTTCTCCTGCGGAGACAACCTCGGCTCAACTGACTACTACGGGCAGCACGTCTGGTCGCAGGGCGCAGGTGCTGTCATGCAGGCGCTCACCGCCGCACGTGCCAAGTGGATCGGCGCCGTGGGAAATGCGGACTCCGTTCAAAAGCCGGTCGGTGTCCAAGCACCGGCGCAAGAGAGGGCGCCTTTCTACGACCCATTCTCGTACTCGCAAGACAAGGGCGACTACGGCCTCCGATATAAGTGTACCGCAGGGACGTTCCCTGTGGGCATCTCGCTCGAATTCGACGTCGCGACTGAGTTCATCAACAACCTCGGTGGCATCCCCGGCGGACCTACCGTGGAGTGCACGGTCGAAGCGAGTGATGGGATCTACCCGCCCGGCGGACCGGACGCCGACTGCCCCTGCGGCTGCGGCTGCGTGTGCTCGGACCCCAGTAGCACCCTTCCGAAAGAGCTTCGGTATAAAGCGGCTGGCAAGTACTACGACGGCAAGAGCCACGAACCGATGGAGTTCGACTTGGTGTTGACGAACCTCACGCACTACAAGCCATTCAACTCCAAGTCGAACGGCCGGGGTCTCGCGGATGTAGACGGTCTATACGAGCACTCGTTTGCCGACGTCTCCATGGCCGCGGGCACAGACACCACCTTCCTGCTCACGGCAGTATTTGAAGGTGGCGATATCAACGAGCCAGAGCGTCGCTCGCGCGGCGGCACACCTGCTCAAAAAAGGAAGGGCCCGGTTGGAGCCACGGGGCTCACGTACTCGCTCGGGGCGCCGCCTCACTCTGCGCCACTTTTGAGGCGTCGAGCCCATGAAGGTGAGGCGGCGCCCCGCGCGGCGCGTTCCTCGCCCTCCACGCCGACCCCTGCGCGCACCGCTCATCTTGGCCCTTCTTGGTTTACTCTCGCCCCCCCTGCTTGGGGAACCCGGCGGGACTCGCTTCTTATTTTTCGTAATGATTGTCGCCCTCGCAGCATTCGCTCCCCCCCCCCCCCCCCCGCCCCCCCCGGGGCCCTCTCCTGGCCCGCGCGCTTGCCGACGCGAGAAGATCGCGCGAGAGGGCAAAATGTGGGCAAAATGGCCTGTTTGCCCACCAACCCTTCATCGTTTGCACGTGTGGGACCAAGAAGCGCGGCCGCCCCTTCGTGGTGCCGCCAGCGCAGCCGTGGCGATGCACGTCGTGCCGAGCGAGTTCCAGCGAGCCCCCGCCGCCTCCACCCCCGCCGCCCACCGGCGGCGCGCCGCGAGCCTCTCTCTCTCGTTCACGCCATGTCTGATTGAGCATGTGGTACGCCTCACCCCTTGCAAAACTCCGAGCCCTCACACGCAAAAAGACAATTCACCGGTGAGCCCAAGACTGAAGACGCAAAAACGATCTCGCAAAGAAAACAAAGAAAACCAAGGGGTCTGTCGTAATGATGCTGTGGCTCGCGGGGGCGATCACTCCCTCGGCGTCGTTCGCTGGTAGGCCGCCTGCCCACCGCGTGGCACCGGCTCGCGCCGTGCAGCGCGCGCCAGCGCCGGCGATGCGCGGCGAGCAGGCCTTCTCCTTTGGCCCTGCGGCAGCGCTGCGGACGGCAAAGCGCAAGCTCCCGCAGGTCGAGTGGCTTGCGGCCGGCGAGGGCTCGGCGGAGAACAAGGTGGACATGCCGGACCACGTTGCACGCATCCTCTCGCAGCCGCACGCGCCGCAGCGCGAGGCCGAGAACGATGAGAGGACGCACCGCATCCGCACGCGCTACGAGCAGGCTGCTGCCGATGCGCAGGCGCTGCGCGGGATGCTGGTGGGGGAGGAGGATGAGAAGGCGTGGTGGCGCACGCCGCGCGAGGTGCCGGCGGGTGGCCGGCCGGTGAGCAAGGACGACCCACTCACCGTGCTGGTGGCGGGTGGCGGGCTTGCCGGCCTGGTGACAGCGGCGGCGTGCCACGCGGCGGGCATGCGGGTCGCGCTGTTCGAGCAGGCGTCTTCGTACGCGCCGTACGGCGGCCCCATCCAGATCCAGTCCAATGCGCTCCGCGCCATCCAGCGCATCTCCCCAGCCGTCTTTGAGGAGCTCGTCGCCGCGGGCACCGTCACCGCCGACCGCGTCTCAGGCCTCAAGATCGGGTACCGCAAGGGCAACAAGCTGGCGGGTCTGTACGACCGAGGCGACTGGCTGGTGCGGTTCGACACCATCGGCCCTGCCCTCGAGGCGGGGCTCCCTGCGACGGTCGTGGTCGACCGGCCGGTGATTCAGCAGATTCTGGTCAAGCATGGCTTCCCCGACGGCACCGTCCGCATCAGCTCGCGCATCGAGGGGTGGGAGGACCGCGGCGACGGCCGCGGCGTGGTTGCGACGCTCTCCGACGGCACCAAGGCGCACGCGGACGTGCTGGTCGGCGCGGACGGCGTCTGGTCCCAGATCCGCAAGCAGATGCACTCACTCGGAGAGGGCGCGGGCGGCTTCGCCGCGTCGGGCGCGGCGGGAGGTGCGCTCGACGAGGCGGAGGCGCGCAAGCTGTGAACAGCGTCTCTTCACACCTCTTGCTGTGAACAGGTGCGCTCGACGAGGCGGAGGCGCGCAAGCTGTGAACAGCGTCTCTTCACACCTCTTGCTGTGAACAGGTGCGCTCGACGAGGCGGAGGCGCGCAAGCTGTGAACAGCGTCTCTTCACACCTCTTGCTGTGAACAGGTGCGCTCGACGAGGCGGAGGCGCGCAAGCTGGCGCGCGACACCGTGCGGATCGCGGCGCAGGCGGATCGCCGCTTCTCGGGCTTCACCTGCTACGCGGCGCTGGCGCCGCACCGCGCATCAAACATCGAGGACGTCTCGTATCAAATCCTGCTCGGAGAGAAGAAGTACTTTGTGTCGACCGACGGCGGCGGCGAGCGGCAGCAGTGGTTTGCGCTCATCCGCGAGCCGGCGGGCGGCGTCGATCCGGAGCCCACGGACGAGGACCCAACGCCAAAGCTGACGCGGCTGCGCCAGGAGTTCTCGTGCAGCAGCGGCGACGCCGACGGCAACGTCTGGGACCCGTTCGCACTCGAGCTGATCGAAGCGTCCGCCGAGAGTGACATCAAGCGGCGCGCCCTCTGCGGCGGGTCGCCGGGTCGGACATGTCGAGGACGCGTCCACGACATGTCCAAGACATGTCCCGTAGGCGCGACCTCTACGATGGGGCGCCCCTCCTCGCCACTTGGGACCCGCGTCGCTGGTGGTCGCCGTGGGCAAAGGGGCCGGGCGCCCTAGATTGGGAACGGCAGGCCGCCGGTACTCGGACTCGCACCCGAGAGGGCACGGATCGAGCGTACATGTCTCCTGCTGTATTCGATGTACTCGCAGCCCTTGTCCTCGCGCGGCTCCGATCGCACTGCACGGATCTTGCTTCACGCCCTGATTGTGGTGTGTTTATGCCTCAGGCCCGTCGCGCTCTGCGGGGACGCGGCGCACCCGATGATGCCAAATTTGGGGCAGGGCGGCTGCCAATCGACCGAAGACGGCTACCGGCTGGGCGCGGAGCTTGCGACGGTGAGCCGCAGAGACCGCTCGAGAGTGCCGCCGGCTAGGTTGTGCCGTTTTGGACTGGCTTAGCCATGCCCGACCGAGACGATTTCGCGTTGGCGGGTCGCCCCCACCGAGGGGTCGCCCACGCACCCGCCGGCCCCCACCGAGGCTTTCTCTCGGAGCATGGTCGAGGGGCACGGCTCCCTGCTGGGAGGAGGGAGAGGGAGGGGGGCGAGGCGAGGGATTGAATGAGGGGGGGGGTGGGGGGATACGGCGGGGAGGGGGGCATGGAGGGGGAGAGGAAGTCCAAGCGCGAGAGGGGGCAGGGGACTGGGCGGGGGACCGCCTGCGCCCCTCGCATGCCCCGTCAGGTGAGCCACACTCGCGAGGTGCCGTCGGCGCTCGCACGCTATTCGCGCGTCCGCGTGGTGCGCACGGCGATCGTGCAGGGGTTCGCGCAGCTCGGCTCCGATCTACTCGTCGACTTCGACCTGATGATGACCATCCCGCTGCTCGGCCCTTTCTTCCTCGCCGCAACGCAGGCGCGCACCTTCGACCCACTGCGCCCGTGACGCCTCCGCGGCAGCTGCCATGCCCCTACCGCACCGCTTGCATGCCCCCACCCGCCCGCTGCATCCTCCCTCTCCTCCGTTGCCTCTCTCTCAACGCGGCCCCGCTCCTCCCTCGCCCGCAGCTCTCGATGCCGTGGATCCTGCGCTTCCTCTACACGCCCGAGTTTTAGGCGGCCGCGGTTCGGTTGAGACGAGTTGCGTTCGGACCCAGGTTCTTTGGCTTTGCCAGCGGCGGCCCGGCGCTGCGCGCTCTCTCTGCCGCAGGCTCTGACTAAGTCTATGCACTCAGGGCCGGTCGGGCCGCTCTACCTAGTCTCTCTACATTAGGCGACGAGAAAATTAACGAAACTCGGAACCCCCCCTCCCTATTGAAAAAGAAAGAAAATCAGCATGCCGAAAAAAAACCCGGCCCGCTGGGGCGAGCCTCGGCCAGCGCCGATCGCCGCCTTGCTGAGGTGAAGCCGCTGCCAGAGTGGGCGGTGACAGGCGTCATGCTTTCGGATGACCTGCTGCCAAAAATTCTCGCACTGCTTCTGGCCAGGAAATCGCAGCCGCTTGTATGCCATGCGTTGAGCAGACTCCGGAGCTATGGTGCCCTCGGTTGGCTGTGCGCCGGCCAAAGTGGCCCAGACGAGGAGGGTCGCCTTCGCAGAGACACGATTATGGGCGCTGGGGCACTGCCATTAATCATTGCCGGCATGCGCGCGCATCCGAGCCATGCGGCTGTACAGCAAACTGGCTGCCACGCCCTGACTGCTCTCGCCCGAGGACAGGTACAGGCGATCGTGGAAGCGATGGCGGCGGCGGGCGCGCTAGCGGCCGTCGTGACTGGCATGCAGGAGCACCGCGACCGTACCGGGGTCCAAGAGAACGGCTGCATCGCGCTGGGAACCATTTGCTGCGAGAGGCATATGGGGGGGAATGTTTTCGGCGTGGATGAGTCAGTCAGCCAGGCGGCCGCCTCTGCGGGCGCGCTGGCGGCGATGGTCAACTCCTTGAGGGCTATGAAAGGTGGCGCGACACTAGACCGTTGCTCTTCCGCGCTGCGCCTCTTCGTGGGTTGGGGAGAGGGCAGCGCTGCGCGGCGTGCAAGTGCTTTGCAGCTGGGGGCGGAGCCGGCTTGGCTCAAGTCGCGTCAGGACGAGCAGATCGAGGAAATAGACTGAGCCCAAGGTCTGCCGAGCGCGCGCCCTGGAGCTTGCGTGCACTAGCGCCACCCAGAGCTACGTACACCCTATCCCTAGAGTATACGTGGGGCTCGGATGCGCTCTCTTCTGTTTGCGTTGAAGGGAGGGGCTCTCGGCTCTCGCTGAGCCCTGGCTGTCAGGCTGTCAGGTGCTGTCAGGTGATCTGTCGGGCTGTCGGGCAGCTGTCAGGCACTGTCAGGTGCCTCTGTCAGACCAGCTGTCAGGTGCTGTCAGTGCTGTCGGGTGCTGTCGGGTGCATGTCTGACAGGCGAGGGGTTCTGTAGCTGTCAGGTGCTGTCGGAGCTGTCGGGTGTTGCTGTCAGACGCTGTCGGAGCTGTCAGAGCTGTCAGGCTGCTGCTGCTGTCAGACGGTGGGCTGTTGCTGTCAGGTGCTGGGTCAGGTGGTGCTGTCGGGGTGCTGTCAGGCTGTGACACACACCAGCCACACTTATGACACTATCAAGAGGAGACCAGCAGGACTCTACTACACATACTCTAGTCTCTACTCTGCCTCCGGTCCCACCATCTTTTTCATGGTGGACGTCACCATCTTCTTGTCTGCCGCACTGAGAGAATAGCAGAGAGGCAGGGTGGAGTGCTTCTTCAGGTACACCTTGCTGATGATCTGGTAGTTGCTGGTCCAGCGGAAGGCCTCCCCATCGTTGTCGCTCGTCAGCTTGTAGTACTTGCACGCTCTGTTCTGGTAGCGCGGGCCGTCTGGGGGGGTCCCGTCACCCTTCACCTCACGGTACCACCGGAGGATAAAGAGGCCCTTGGGGTCGTTGATGAAGACCCCGTTGCTGCGCTGACTCATGGAGAGCTGGCGCAGGTACTCTGCGCTGGAGCTGCCAGTGGCGCGGCGCGCGTCTACTGTGCCGTCGGCGACGGCCACCTGCTCAATGTTGCCGATGGCAAAGACCTTGGAGCTGTCCTCCATGGTGAAGAGCACCGCAACTGCGAAGAGAAAGAGAAGAGGGAGAGATGAGGATGCACGTCTTATGTGTGTGTGTGACAGGCGGGCAAGGGCGTGGTCACCGTCATCATCATCCATGTAGAAGTCGAGCTCCTCATCCACATCCTCGCCCCGCTGCTGATGGGACTTGATGAGCCGCTTGACGTGGAAGCGGAGCTTGCGATCCTTTGACTCCTCCTGGATGGAGACGTTGAAATCTGCCAGCAGCTTACCCTCAATGGGGCACAAGAAAGAGGCTCTACGGGGTCTGTGTACGGTCTGTGCTGCTGTCGGGCTGTCAGGCTGTCAGCGCTGCTGTCAGGCCACTGTGTGCTGTCGGGCTGTCAGGCAGCTGTCAGGCTGTCACGTTAGGGCCTGACAGCGACGGAACCCCTCGCCTGCCAGACTCTGCTGTCAGGCTGTCAGACACGTGCTGTCAGACTGTCAGAGAAAGTGCTGTCAGCGCTGTCAGGCTGTCGGGCACTGTCAGGCGCTGTCCGGGGGTTTGCTGTCAGGCTGTCAGACCAGGGCTCAGGGCTCTCGGGCGTCGGGGTGTAGCGTGTACGTTGGCGCTTATTGCTTATTCAGTATATGTTACTATGTTTTTGTTGTATCACTCTCGTCATGGTCCATCTCAAAAAGCACACACCGCGACAGAGACTGATCGTGGACCACAGTCGACCCTCGCCGGATAGACTGAACGCGCAGGGACAGAACCAGGCGCGCGCGGCGTGTCCCAATAAGTGTCCGAATGATCAGAGTGGGGCGGCGATGTGGATGTGGCCGAGCCCCCGTCCTGATCAAAACTTGATCTTCGGCTCCTTCTTGCTGCTCGTGGGCCCGCGCTTGCCAGGCTGCGCCTTCTGCTTGCGCAGCACAAATCCGCCGCCGGGGTCGACTGCGGCGGCCGCTTTGTCGAGCTTCAGGGGGGGCGGGGGTTCTGCGTCGGAATCGTCCGAGTCGTCGCCGCGCCTCCGCTTCTTCTTCTTCTTGCGCTTGCGGTCGCCCCCGTCCTCGCCCTCGCCCTCGCCGTTCGCCTTCTTCGAGGCAAGGAAGGGCAGCAACGCGTTCCGAAAGTCGCTGTTGCTGAGCTGTGGTTCGGCGGCGCCGCCCTCGCCCTCCTCCTCGCCCTCGCCCTCGCCCTCCGCTCCAGCGCCGCCCCCCTCAACCTCGGGGAACGGCAGCGCCTCCGCCTTCGCCTTGCGCGCCGCCGCGACATCGACGGCGGGCGTGCTCGGCAGGATGGTCGTCTGCAGCATGTCTGAAAAGCGAGGTCCCTCCGGCTCCGGCGGCGCGAGCGGCGGCGGCGGCGGCGGCGGCGGCGGCAGCGACGACGGCGGCGACGATGGCGACGGGCGGACAAGCACCGTGTCGCAATCGCCGAGCTTGATCTTTGCCCCGCACGGCACGCGCGTCGGCTTGTGCGGCGACAGCCGCTCCCAGCCGGCGCCCGTGTCGAGGAAGCTGCCTGCATGATGAATACGCCAACCCTCGGGGGCCGGAGTGCTTTAGAGAGCACGCGTGAAAGACGAGGGTGCGAACACAGGGAGTACAGCCGAATACGGTCGAGTACAGCGGAGTCCGTGTCCTCTCGAGCGCGGGTTGGAATACACGAGTACTCATCCCGCTTCTAGGCGCAGCCGCCCTTGGTCGAGCCGAGGTCAATGAGGTGCAGCGGTGCCTCGCTGTCGTCGCCGTCGCCGCCGTCGCGGCCGCCATCGGCCGGAGAGCCGTGCACAATCGCCGCGTGCGCACGAGACACGGACTCGTCTGGCACGGCGAAGTCCGCCTGGCGAAGTGTCGTGGACGTGTTACGGACGTGTCATGGACGTGTCGTGGACTAGCACAGCACAATCGGGGGGGGGGGGGGGGAGGCTGGGGGGGCCTCTCTGGGAGGACTCTCGGGCGGTCGCCTCGGGCGGTGTCCCAGGCGGAGTCTCGAACGCTGGGTCGGCCCGCGGCCCCGGTCGGCTCTCGGTGAGTCAGCTCTCGGTGGAGGGCAGTGGGGCTTTGCGAGTCGGCTGTGCAAGATCTGGTGGGGAAGAGTTGCGAGGCTGACCCTTTCGCGTGAGCGGCCAAAGACGTAGGCCCTCTTGCGCGAGAGCTGGAGCGACTGCATCTTCGTGCCGCCGCGCACCTGTGGTCGGGGCGGGGCCGGGGGGTGGGGTGTCGGCGTCTCGGACGCGTCTCGGACGCGTCTTGGCAGCGGCGCGCCAGGTCAAGCGAAACCGGTGCTTGCGGAGCCACCGCCCACTCCGGCGGCTCCCACCGGGCGGCGGCGGCGGGCGGCGGGGGGGCGGGCGCAGCGGGCGCGTCGTGGCTGAACTTGCACTCCCTGCCGTACCGGCAGTTGCCCTTGATAAAGTCGATGCACTGCCTCTTCCCCGGCGGCGCGGGGGGCGGCAGAGCGGCAGCGGCGGCGGCGGCGGCGGCGGCGACGGCGGGCGGAGGCGCGTCGGGCGGTGGCGCGGCGGGCGCGGCGGGCGCGGCGGGCGCGGCGGGCGCGGCGGGCGCGGCGGGCGCGGGCAGCCCGACGAGCACGAGCGCGTAGGGCGGCGCGTCGGAGAGGGTTATGCTCGCGCCTCCGCCGAGCTGAGTCGGCTCGTTGGGCCGGATGCGCTTGCCGTCGACAAAGGTCCCGCGGGTCGACTTGAGGTCGATGAGGTAGAGGCGCTCGCCGCGCGGGACGATGGCACAGTGCTGGCGCGATGCGGCCTCGTCATCGCCCACGACCACGTCCGCCACGCCAGGCTGCCTGCCGACCACAAAGCAGCGCGGGCCAGGCGGAAGCTCGTGCCGGCGCAGCGTCCGCTCGCCGCGCCGGACCTCGAGCGCGAGGCCCGCGTGCGGCGTCTCGGTCGCCCAGCTCGGCGCGGGGAATTTGCCAGCCATGTATGTGTGCGTGTGGGCCGTCGAGAGATCAACAAATCCAGGTGCGCCAAGTCCCCACGGCCTGTGCACCTTAACGCTTAAGCACTTGAGCACTGGATAGGGTCGATTCCGCGTGGTACGGGACCCCTCGATCGTCTCGCCCTCCCTCGCTGGTGTGTTCATTGGGGGGGGCGTGCACCTCGATCCTGGAGCCGGGTGACGGGATGCTGTCGCGGCGGTCTCACTCACTCAGTCAGGCCCACCCACCCAGTGAGTGAGGTAGTGCGCCAGACAGACAGACCTATCTCGCATGAGCACTCTCATGGGAGCCATACTCGCATAGGGGACGCGTGCTAGCTGATGACTGTAGCCAGCTTCCCGGCCTCCCGCGTCTACCGGGAGCCTCCCGGACCATCGACCTCGGGAGCTCTCCCGCACCTTTATGCGTTCTAAGGAATCGGTCGGCGGCCCGCTGCGGCTCTTAAAACCTGCCAGGCCGGTTAAGCCGTTAAAAGCCGCAGCGCCCCAGGGCCCACCCGCTTTTAAGCCTAGGGCGTAGGGGTATATGAGGCTGATAATGACGTCCGCAATCGCCTCGGGGGGATGGGGCCCTGAGCCCTGGCTGTCAGGCTGTCAGGTGCTGTCAGGTGATCGGTCGGGCTGTCGGGCAGCTGTCAGGCACTGTCAGGTGCCTCTGTCAGACCAGCTGTCAGGTGCTGTCAGTGCTGTCGGGTGCTGTCGGGTGCGTGTCTGACAGTCGAGGTGCTCTGTAGCTGTCGGGTGCTGTCGGAGCTGTCGGGTGTTGCTGTCAGACGCTGTCGGAGCTGTCGGAGCTGTCAGGCTGCTGCTGCTGTCAGACGTTGGGCTGTTGCTGTCAGGTGCTGTCAGTTGCTGTCAGGTGGTGCTGTCGGGGTGCTGTCAGGCTCTGACACACACCAGCCACGAGTAATGGAGAAGTCTGTCCGCGCCTAAGGATTCTGCCTTTCCTATTCTGCTCTACTACACAAGGATTCTTGCTATTCTACCTCTCACTAGATTCCCCTTCCCAGGTTCCTCTTCTGCTCAGATATTCTGATTCTCTCCCCAGACTCTCCCATCTTGGCCCCGCTTTCAGCTTCCTGATTCTCCATTCTCGTTTCCTCCGCTTCCTTTCCGATGTTTTCGCCGATGCCATTGAAAATGGAATAGAGTTTTCGGAAAAAAAACTCCCCGGCCCTCGCCAACGCCCAAAAATGGCGCAGAGTGAGGCGGCGAGAACCGAGCGAGCACGTGAGCCCCGTGGCTCCAACGTCCGGTTACCGGGCCCTTCCTATTTTGAGCAAGTGTGACGCCGCGCGAGCGACGCTCCGAGATCGCCCGAGACAGCGCGGCGCGGCGGTGGGTGAGGTGGGGTGGGGGGGTGGGGGGGTGGGGGGTGGGGGGGCGGCGTGGCGTGGAGCTCCGAGATAGCGCGAGATCGCCCGAGATCGCGCGGCGCGGCCGCCCCCGGAGTGCCGAGATCGCCCGAGATAGCGCAGATCGCCCGAGATCGCGCGGCGCGGCCCGAGGCGAGGTGGGAGAGAGAGAGAGAGAGAGATTTTTAGAAGCCAACAAGAAATGTGTCACACACAGATCACAGTGATTTGGGCTCGGCAGCTTGTCCTCTCGCGAGGTGGGTGGGTTGGGAGCGAGGGGGCGGAAGTGTTCAGTGCGGTAGATGGTCAGCTCGGGGCGCAAGAGGTGGCCTGTGAGCCATCCGGCTTACATTTACCCTGCTCGCACATGGAGTGCGAGGACCGAGGTATCTCGTCTCGTCGTCTGTCGCCGTCCCAAACTGTCACTCCCCTCTCTCCCGGCCGGGGTGGGGCGCGCGCGGGGGCGGTGGGTGTGCGGGATGTCTGTGGGCCCGAGAGCGATGTGCGTGTGCCCGCCTTGCGTTTTTGCAAGGCTAGCTCGAAAAAAAGAATTTCGCCGCGAGCGCCACGGTGGCGCTGCACACCTCCTCTCTGCCCGCGCCTCCCCGAAGTCCCCCGCCGCCCCCGCCCCCCTCCCATCCGCCCCTCCCCGCCCCCTCCTCCCCACCTCCTCGCTCGCCGCCGCCTCGCAGAGAGCGGCGCCATGTCCTCCTCCGAGGCGATCGACTATGTGAAGAAGCCGGCGGTGGAGTTTATCAAGGACAGCTGGCGCCTGGTGAAGCGGTGCACAAAGCCCGACAGAACCGGTGCGCGCCACCGCAGCGGGGTTGGGTGGCGGAAGCGCTGCACGGGCGCCGTTCTTCCTCCCCTCTCAGCCCGACGCGCCGACCCGCTGTCGCCCCGACCTGCCCCCCCTCGCAGAATTTTCGAAGATCGCGCAGGCCACGTCGGTCGGCTTCTTCATCATGGGCTTCATCGGCTTCTTTGTGAAGCTCATCTTCATCCCGATCAACAATATCATCGTCGGCATGGTGGGTAGCTCCCCCCCCCCACCCCTCCCCACACCCACCAGAGACGCGTCACGCCGCCGCCCGGCAGCTGTCCTAGGCTCCTGGCTGCGGCTCCTCGCACACGCCGCCGCGTCACGCCCACCCTCCTTTCCCACTGCAGGGTTGAGTACTCCGTGCTTGCTGCTGCCTGTCTGTATGGGGGGAGAGGGAGGCTTCGCGCTGGCGGCCTCGAGGGCGTTCGTGGCGGACCGTTCCTGCACCCTGGTCTCCCGAGGCCTCCTGCAACCTGGTCTCCCGAGACCGTGGGGATGGGGGGGGGGGTTGCACGTTCTTTCTCGTCGCCCGCCGCCCGCCGGGCCGCGGGCCGGCGCGTGCGTCACCAGACACCACACGTGTCTCCGTGTGTGTTTGGCAGCACATAACTAAAAATGACAAAAATGACATCGAGCGTGCAGCCACGATGTGATTACTCTCTGTACAGAAAACTCAAGGGGGTGGCAAGGGGGGCGCGACCGAGCACACCGTGAGGACAAAAGTGCCGCGCGGCAAGACCTTCAGAGTCGAAACAGGCGCCCGGAGTTGGGTTGCGCGGCCGCGGGTTGGCGTCCGCCTCGGTCTCTCTCGACGACGCCCCAGTTTGACCTCTTGACCTCGCGAGCGATAGCAAAGGCGCTCTTCTTCCCGGGTACTCAGCTCTTCCGCTCGACGGTGCGCACGCCGTTTTTGTCGACCACCTTGATGGTGAAGTTCGGCATTGAGATCATGAAGCGGGTCTGCACCTCCTTGAAGCAGCGCTCGAGCAGCTCGAGCCCTTGCTCCTCGGTGAGGTCGGCGCGCCAGTGCGTGTCGAGCAGGCTGCGCGGGGAGAGCGGGGCGCGGCTGAGGGGGGCCGGGCGGCGGCCAGTGGTGTGTGCAGAGGTCGAGTAGGGCAAGGCGGAGGGCAAGGCGGAGGGCGGAGAGCGGAATGCGGAGGGGCGGGGAGGGGGGGGAGGGGCTCCCGCCCTCGACGGTGGCTGAGCCGTGGGGCGCAACGTGCCGCGGCCACGGCGCAGGATGGCAGCGCCATCGACGAGCTCGATGTGGCGGCAAGCGGGGCTCCCGGGCAAGAGTTGCGCGCGCGCGTGTGGTGTTCGCGGCGCAGCGCCTGTTGCAAAAGAAGCCTCCGTAGCCGTGCGAGGCATAGTCGAGCTTCTGCATGGAGGCGAGGTAGTCGAGGAAGTAGAGCGAGGGGCCCACGCCCTCGTCGTACCCGACCAGCAGCATGTCGACCTGCGTGCGTGGGATGGGGGGAGAGGGCACTGGGCGGGCAGGGGGTTGGCTGTTTTCGGCTCGAGCAGCGGCGCCTGCGACATGGCGCGCCGCAGGTTGTACGACTTCTCGCCGCGGATGTAGTTGGCGGCGGCGTGAGTCGTGAGTTGGACGCCGTTGCGCATCGCGTAGAGCGTCATGTTTTTCTGAATATACTCGGGCTCCTGTGTAGGGCGGGGGGCCAAACTGCGCTGGCGGCGGCGGTTGCCAGCCTAGGGGATTGAGAAGGGTGGAGCGCCTGGATGCAGTCGGCCGCGTCGCCGCCAACAGCGAGCAGCTTGTGCGAGTCGAGCTCGCGGATTTTGTCCAGCTGCTGCGAGTAAACCATGATGGAGCGCGCCGCGTTGGCGTCGGCGGCGATGATGGCATAATCCTTGCCGGTGAAGCCAATCAGGAAGTCCATGCCTGCGCGGGAGGGCGGGGGATGGGAGGTCGCGATCGGAATCGCATACGCCTGGGAATTCGCGCGCGCGACGCCTGTCGACCCGAGCGCGGCCGCCCTGTATCGAGACAGCGCCGCTGCGAGTTCTTTTTCCCCGCTCGAATTCTTTTTATGTCCAGTGGACAGCAACTCGGAACGTATCCCCACATTGTTTGGAGAGCCGCCGCGGCGCGCGGGTGGAGTCCTTATGTCGGAGATCTCTCGGGACGACTCGGGTTTGAGCTCTTTTGCGTTTTGGTTGTTGCTTGTTCACCGGATTGCGCAGACCAAATCTATGCACTATGGATAGTAAACAAAGTCTCCCGAAACGCGTGCGCTGCTCGCAACGCACAACGGGGCCCTCTACACATGCATATGCGAGACGGGGGCAGGGGCGAGCGCGCGAGTGCCGAGTCCCTCCCCGCTCGCAACGCGACGATCCGCGGAAGTGGGAAGACGGAGAGGCGCAAGAGGCGCGCACAGAGGGCGGCCTCCACAGTAGTACGTCTCGTGTCGGACGGGGTCCTTCGCCGCCGGCATCCTCGCCCGGGGGGGGGGGGCGGGACGCCCTAGATAGCGCGCGCCAGTCCGCGCCGCTAGTGCACCTCGAAGAGGCCCGCCTCGACCAGCTCGTGGAAGGCGGCGTAGTCGCGTCGCAGCACCTCGAGCGACTCGTGCTGCAGGTTCACGTTGCCCGACGCGGAGCACGCGTCGATCGTTTTTGCGATTGGCTGGCCGACCGACACCATGACGCACGCCGACTTGAAAGAGGACAGTCGCGTGATGGCGAGCCAGCGCTCCTCGTTGATGCTCTTGAGCACCCCGGCGACCGGCGAGCGCAGCTTCGCCTCCATCACGTGCACCGAAAAGTCGCTCGGCACGACGGGCAAGTCCGCAAACGCCGCCGGGTCGAGGTAGCAATCGAGCATCGCCGTGACGGCCGAGTAGCCAAGCGCCGCCTCCGCCATCGGAGCCTGCGTCGACGAGCACACACACACCAGAGTCAGGGCGGGAAGTACCCGGACGGCCTCGTGCTGTGTAATCGCGCGGATCGCGTGAACGCACGGGCTAAGTGAGTACAGTTGCAGCCAGGTCACGTGTCCTCCTCCAGTGCTAGCCGGGAGGCACGGGTCCAGTGCTAGCCGGGAGGCACGGGTCCAGTGCTAGCCGGGAGGCACGGGTCCAGTGCTAGCCGGGAGGCACGGGTCGTGTATTCCGCATTTAGGCATCGGAGCCCATGTGCCCTCGCCGCCGTGGATGCGGCAGTTCACCTCCACCAGCACCGGACCACGCTCCACCAGCATAATCTCGGTGTGGCAACAGCCGTGACGGATGCCGAGGGCGTCGAGCACGCTGGCTGTGTACCCCACCATCTCGGCCAGCCTCGGCTCGGAGTCGATGGCGAGCAGCTGCATGCCATAGTAGACGACGGGGGCGCCGTTGTAGACGCGCTTGTCGTACTTCCAGAGCGCGACGCACTTGTGCACGCCGTCGCGCGACACCGTGTCGACGACGTACTCGTCGCCCGCGAGGTACTCTTGCAGCAGCACGCTGTAGTTGGTCAGGCCGAGCACGTTCTTCGTGCCTTCGAGCGCGCGGTACGCGGCGACGACGCCTGCGGGAGATTGCCGAGATCTGGCCGAGGTGCGGCCGAGGTGCGGCCGAGGTGCGGCCGAGGTGTGGCCGAGGTGTGGCCGAGGTCATCTCCTCCTCCGCCACCTTTGCAGAGGTGTGGCGTGGAAGCGCTTGCACCTCGGACGGATCTCGGCATGATCTCCGGCCGAATCTCGGCATGAGCTCGGCATGAGCTCGGCATGAGCTCGGCATGATCTCTCTCGTAGAGGTCGCGCCGTCGCGCGAGTCGCAGATCGATACGCCGTCCGAGCCGGCCCCCTCTACCGGCTTGACAACGGCGCGGTAAGGCGACGGGCTCCACGCTGCCAGAAACGCCTCGACGCCCTCGATGCTGTCGACTTGCATCTGGAAGGGCGCCTAGGAAAGGGGGGGGGGGGTAGTAAGAGGGCAGAGGATTGAGTCCCAGAGTCGCCGCCGGGGAGGAGGTGTCTGCAGAGCGTCTGGCCAGGGGCTTGCGAGGGAGTAGCGAGGGAGGCGCCTCCAGCCCCGCAGACCGCACCGCCTCCGCCTGCGGGAAGAGGAGGAGAGGAGGGGAGGAGAGGAGACGTGAGGAGCAAGAGGTGGGGCGGTGGCGGCGAGGAGGACGGGAAGCGCGGCGGTGGCGGAGAGGAGGAGAGGCAGCGGCAGCAGCACCACACGCCTGCGCGTACTTGTTGCGCCTCAGACCAGACTTGAGCGTCCCGTTGCCAGGCAGCTGCAGCGCCTCCGCGAGCGCGTCGCCGAGAGACACGCCCGTCTCACACCCGACGATACACGCTACCACGTTGGCTCCGATCGCGCGCACCGCCGCCGCCGTCTTGGCCACCTGCACGGGGCAATCACGGGGTTGCCACCACGGGGCCATCACAGTCGTGGGCGGAGGCTTCTCGCCGCTGCGACTGTTGCCCGTCGCAGCGGGCTGTGGCGTAGGGTTCGAGCTGTGCAGTGGCGGACTGGTCGCAAGGCTGAGAGATGCGGAGGTAGGAGCGGCAGCACACACCTCTCCCACCTCATGGGAGAGGACGCCCGCATGGCTTATGCCCATCCCGTGCGCGACAAAGCCCTTGAGCTCCTCTGGGATCGACTCGGACCACACGCAAATCACCTGCGGGCGGGCACTGACGCCTTGGACACGCGCTCGGGCGGCGGCGGCGCTGAAGGCAGGGGGGTTGGCGGGTGTGCAGGCGGCGGCGCTGCTGCGCTGCGGGTGCTGCAACCAGCTCATCGCCAGTCAATCTCACGCAGCTTCCGGAGCCTACTGGCTCCCTCACCTGTAGGCCCATGCGGTGGACAGCCTGGTGCGCCACCACCGCGCCAGTCGAGACAGGGTCGACCACCACCACGGCATCCGCGCCGGGCACCGACAAACCGGCCTCGGCGGCCTTGGCCACCTCAAGCGCACTCGCGCGCCTCACCGTCGGAACGAGCTCGTACGTCTGCGCGGTTGGGAGGGAGGAGGAGACTGCGAGGGGCAGACCGCCCTTCTCGCACAGCAGGTACTCGGTCTCGATGCCGATGCGGCACGCGGTGCGCAGCAATTTATCGAGTGCAGAGTCGGGACAGTTGTCGTACCAAGCGACCCGCCGCAGCGGCGCGTTGCCACATCTCAGCTGCATCCACTTGCGCTGTGGGCCATTGTTCACCACTGGCGTGGGAGATTCTTTCACCTTCCGCATGAGTTGGCGAAGTGCACGCGTGGCCGATGGGGAGGATGGGTACGATCCGATGGGCACGATCCGGTTGCGACCCGTTCGCGGTTTCTTCTTCGCCGAGAACCTCGGAGACTGTGTGAAGAGCTACAAGAAGAGCTTTTCAGCATGACCAGGGGCAGGGCCGGAGGGCCGAGCAGTTTCCCCACTTGTTTCTCTCTCTCCTGTGTTAGTGCCAGTGCGCGTCAGTCCCGTGCCCAGTGTCGTGCGAGGCCGAGCGAGGGAGGGAGTTTTGTTGTAGAATTCTCTCTCTCTTTCTTCCTCAATGAAAAACAATGCCCGATGGGTGATGGGTGGGTGGGCTTCAGACCTCGATCGACGCCCTGGGGATGTATGTACATGTAGGATTCCTATATGCTATAACGGACCCGTCACCTTCGGCTCGTGTGGATTCGAACCACTGCCGCGGGATTGATGCTTACTGGCTTCCATCTGAACGGAAGTACCTATTCTAGGATGCGCACATCGCTCATCGGATCTCTCTGTCGAGATGGGGGGTCGCCGCCCCTGACCGCTGACGCCGCCCGCCGCGGCGCGCCCTGAAACCTACTAGTACGGCTCTCTACATCAAACATAAACTCATATATAAAGCTGCTGAGCCAGGATGACAGCGAGCGATGCGTGCCGATGACGGACTCGCCATCATGTCTGGTGTGTGGGCACGCGCGGGGACGCGGCGGGCCCGCGGGACGGCCGGACGCGCGCGGACGGCGGACGACGGAAATCGTGTGAAATCTGGAGACGCGGCGACAACCTCGACTATCTTTCACCGTGTGCTGACCGTGTGAGTGTGAGACGATGATGACGCGCATATGGGGAGGGGAGGCATTCTGAGTGAGTATTAAACTTGGAGCACTTGGAGTAAAAACGCGCTGTGAGTTATTCACAAGTAATTTCAATAAAAAACGAGAGGCAAGAGCGCACCTCGCGCCAAGCCCACAATCCGTCTCTTTTCTCTGCTCGCAAGCAGCGCGAGCCGCCTGCGGCAACGGCTCGTCGCCGACCAGCGCACGCGCTCTCCTCTCCCACTAGCTCTACTCGGCCTCGATGACGATCGCCGACGCGCCGCCGCCGCCGTTGCAGATGCCGGCGACGCCAATCTTGCCGCCCTTCTCGCGCAGCACCGAGAGGAGGGTGACGACGATGCGCGCGCCCGAGGCTCCGATCGGGTGGCCAATCGAGACGGCGCCGCCGCGCACATTCACCCTCGTGGGGTCGAGGCCGAGGAGCTGATTGTTGGCGACGGAGACGACCGAGAAGGCCTCGTTGATCTCGAAAAAGTCGACGTCAGAGATGGCGAGCCTGCGTCACGAGCTCACACCGGAGTCAGGGCGGGAAATACGGCCTCCTGCTGTGTGCGGAGAGGTTCGCGTCTCAAATACAGCTGAGTGCAGTCGAGCACAACTGAGCGCCGCTGAATGCCGCTGAATGCCGCTGAATGCCGCCGGATGCCGCCTGAATGCCGCTGAATGCCGCCCGGAGCACTTTCCCTCTCTCGAGTGCTGGTCGGAGTACAAAGGTGCGCAGCCGGCATCTAGGACGGCGAGCCCCGCGCGCGCGAGGGCCTTCGGGATCGCCGCCGCCGGCGCCGTGGTGAACCAGCACGGTTCCTGCTCCGCGTCGGCCGAGCTGCGGATGGTGGCGAGGATCGGGGCGCCAGCCGCCTCCGCCTGCGAGAGAGAGCCGAGATCCGACCGAGTAGTAGCCGGGAGGGGCGCCAGACCCGCCTGGCGCCTGAGAGCGGGACATGAGCACGAGGGCAGCGGCGCCTGCGGTGGAGGGCGCCGTGGGCGGTGACTGCGTCGGTGACGGTGACTGCGTCCCGAGAACGACGGACTGAGGGAGGGGGAGAGAGGAGAGGGGAGAGGGGAGAGGGGAGAGAGAACAGAGGGGAGAGAGAGCACAGAGCAGAGAGAGAGGAGAGGGTCGGGCTGCCGTCCGAGATGGTCGACGCATTGGCCGCCAGGAAGTGTCTCGGAAGTGTCTCGGAAGTGTCTCGGCTGCCGTCCGAGATGGTCGACGCATTGGCCGCCGTCACGGTGCCGTCCTTCTTCTTGAAGGCGGGCTTGGCGGCGGACGCTGGGCGCGGCTCCGGCGCGCATTCGTCGTCGGCGGTCACGATCACATCTCCCTTGCGAGACTTGACCGTCACGGGTGCGATCTCGTCGCCGAAGGAGGCTGTGCCGGGAGGGGAGGGGCGGCTACTCGTGTAGCAAGGTCGGGCACTCACCACAGGGTCTGGTGCCCCGTACCCTGCGGACCCAGTCCCGAGGCCCGTCGGGGCACTCTCCACTAGGCTGCTGCTCCCACATGGCCTGGGCACTCCTCCCCCGGCGAGCTTGCCCACATCTCCCCCCATCTCCCCCCATCTCCCCCCATCTCCCCCGGCGAGGTTGCCCACCACAACGCTCGAGGGGCATGTGGGTCAAGTGGGTCCGTTGCGGCGACCGAGACACGGAGACCGAGACACGGAGACCGAGACACGGAGACCGAGACACGGAGACCGAGACACGGAGACCGAGACACGGAGACCGAGACACGGAGACCGAGACACGGAGACCGAGACACGGAGACCGAGACACGGAGACCGAGACACGGAGACCGAGACACGGAGACCGAGACACGGAGACCGAGACACGGAGACCGAGACACGGAGACCGAGACACGGAGACCGAGACACGGAGACCGAGACACGGAGACCGAGAGGAGAGGACGCGGGCGAGGGCGAGGAAGAGAGAGTGACAGAAAGAAGAGAGGCTAAGGGGGGGAGTTGGAGTGCTAGCTATACGCGCGCGGCACCGGCGCGCGCTCGGCGGTACGACTCGTCGGCGTGGGCGTCCTGCCGAGAAGAGAGGCGTGCAGTCAGCAAACGTCCCGGGCGGTGGAACGGCTCGCGTGCGTGCGCGTCCTGCATCTCGCGCGTGATGCCGTGCGTCTCTGCGCAGAGCTCTGCGTGGCCGCCTGTGGCGGAGGCGGCGGCGGCGGTGGTGGTGTGGCTCGAGGCGGCGGCGAAGGTGGTGGTGGCAGCGGTGGCGGCGGCGACGGACGTGGCGAAGGTGGTGGCGGCGGCGGCGGCGGCGGCAGCGGCAGCGGCGGTGTTGCGAAGCAGGTGAGGACGAGGCAGGGGGGGCGAGGGCGGAGGAGGCGAGGGCGGAGGAGGGCGACGTCGTGGCGGTCGCGGCGGGCGTGGAGAGAGGCGCGCGGCGTGCGGACAGGGCGGAGACGGGCCGGGGCGTGGGCGGCCGCACCCATGTGGCAGTTGTCGTACGGATCCCACAGCCCGTCGAACACGAGGCCGTCGACCATGGTAGCGTCGCCCATCCTCGCCCCAAAGCGCGCCTTGGGAAGGTAGTACGGCACGTTGGACATCGACTCCATCCCACCCGCGACAAGCACGTCCGCGTTCCCCAGCACGATCTCTTGCGAGCCCAGCGTGACCGCCTTCATGCCGGACGAGCAGACCTTGTTGACGGTCGTGCAGCAGGTGCTGTCGGGAAGCCCGGCCATCTGGGCGGCCTGGCGGGCCGGGGCCTGGCCCATCCCGGACGCAATCACGTTGCCCATCCAGCACTGCTCCACGCTCTCCTTTGGCACGCCCGCACGGTCGAGCGCCGCGCTGATTGCAGCCGAGCCAAGTTCTGGCGCCTTGAGCGCGGCGAGCGAGCCGTTGAAGCCACCGACCGGAGTCCTCGCGACGCCGACGATGACGGCATCGCGCGGCGACTTGGCGGCCGAAGAGAGGCGGCGAGCGCTCTGGCGGAATACACGCATTAGTGTCAGGAGACTCCGTGCACGGCCGCCAAGTAAGTGATCACGCTCTTAGTGAGCCCGCGCACAACATTTTTTTAAAGTGTATGTAGCTGTAGGTAGGTCTTACGAACATACCCGAGGGGTGAACTGCTGACAGGGTTTGCGATGAGAAGCGATCCGAACGTGGCATTCGGGTGATTAGATCACTACCGCCGTAACGCAAGAGCACTGCGACGGATCGGGCTCATGCTAGCATCCACCTCGCGGGCCCGATGTTCTGGCCCAGCGACGCAGCGAGGCTGCTGCGGAGCACTCGCGGGCCGACTTTCTGGCCCAGCGAGGCCGCTGCGGGACACACCCCGGCGGCTCGGTTCGCTCCTCAACGCAAACTCGGTCGAGCAAGAGGTCAAGGTGTGTGTGTGTAAAGGCGGCGCGGCACGGTAAGACTAAGAGTCGGCGGTCGGGCGCGCGGCGCGGCGGCAACAGACGGCAAGCAGGGCATCGGACGGCGGGACATTTTGCCTCCATGCTCCGAGCCTGGCTGTCCATTCGAGCCTGGCTGTTCATTCACCTTCCTACCGTAATCTAACAATGGCGGTTAGCTGTTAACAGCTAGGGTAGGCCTAGGCCGAATGATTTTCCTCGAATCATTCCGTGCCTGCCTGTTTGTGTAAGTTTCAACTTATCCGCGCGCCGGTGAGTGCGGCACCGGCGCGCGACCCGCCACTGACCGCTGCTGTGGCTGCCCGAACCAACGCCGGCCAGCTCTCAGCGCCCTGGTCTGTAGGTGCTTGTCCCCCCTCCGCCATAGCTGCCCGAAGAACGGCCCAAGGCACCAGAGATGAGCCGCTTCGGCGCGGAGCTGAAGCGCGCCTCCATGCTGCGCGTGGCTGCCGCCGCGTCACGCGAGAACTGCGGCTGGTCGTGCTTCGAGAGCGTCGGCTGCGGGAGTATCTGCCCCCTCAGCAGCCGCGGGAGGTGTGCCTGCTTGGCGGGGGGGTCAAAGGAGACCCCCACCGTGGCGCAAGCGGGTATCGGCGGCAAGTTGTATTCCGCGCCGCCTACAGGAGCCACGGCGCAATCTCAAGACTCGCGGGGAGCCGGGGGGGGGGGGTTGGACGCGTCGCACCCGGTGGCGGCGGGAGCGCCTCTCCGGCTTGGCGGCGCGACGCCGCGCTCGCACGCACAAACCCGCCAAAACCGAGCGACTCCGCCGCAGCAGCATCCAAGCGCACCGGCGGCGCGCTGACTGGCGCCGCGGCAACGGCGGCGCAGATGGCGCCAATGGGCTGGGCGGAGGAGACAAAGAGGAGAGCGTCGCCGTGCCTGTCGCGATCCGCCTGCAGACAACGTACCGCATGGCGATCAGAGGGGCAATTCATGGCCGTGCGCGCCCCGACGCCTCGGCTCGTTCCGCCTCCTCCGCCGTCAGCGTCGCGCGCACCGGCGCCAGCGTGGCGCGCAGCCGCGGCGCGTCGATGAACGGGAGCAGCGCGATGGCCTGCCACGCGTACTTTTTCCCGTTGAGGTCGTCGGCAAAGTCGATCGGGTAAAAGTCGATGATTGGCGAGTCGGCGTCCACCATCAGTTGCCTAGCGGGTGGTGATCAGTTGCCTAGCGGGTGGTGACGGGCGTGTCGCGGGCGCGCCATGCGGCGCCCACACAAGTGTCGTCCTCGGCTGCCGGTGCGCGGCTAATCTCGGCTAGTCTCGGCTCATCTCGGCTCATCTCGGCTAGTCTCGGCTGCCGGTACGCGGCGGGCAGCGCGTGGCCCGACGCGGGAGGGAAGACGGACATCAGCTGCTCGAAGGGGGAGAAGGCGGCTCCCTCCTCGAAGGCGCCGCCTAAGAGAGGAGGGCGGGGAGGGTGCGAAGAGAGGAGTGGCAAGGTCCCCCCTCCTCTCCCCGCCTGCGAAGTCGGCGAGGTCGACGAGGTCCGAGGCGCAGGGCGCGTAGTGGAAGGGGAAGTACCACCCCCAGTCCTGCACCCCTTGGTAGTAGTACATGAGCACCCAGCACAGCCCCTGCACGTAGTGCGCAACGACGGAGCGGCGCGCGGCCTCGTCCTGCCGCGGCATCTGGAGCTTGGACGAATAGTACCGCTCCTTCCAGTCCCTCTGGCCGTACCGGACGGTATCCACCTGCGCATACTCCTCCGCCTAGCAGAGACATGCCGCTCTGTTGTCAGGCACAAGTCGGGAACCGTCCACCCGCCGGCCCGAAACTCGGCCGCCTGCCGCGCCTCCAGCAGCTTCTGCACCCGCGCCTTGCAATCGTCCGGCTCGGAAATGAGCAGAGATTCGCCGAGATTCGCCGAGATTCGCCGAGATTCGCGCCTTGTAGTCGTCCGGCGCGGCCGCCTCGCCGCCCTGCGCGGCAGCCGACGCGGCGGCCGACGCAGCAACGCCTGGCGGCTTCTTCTTGGCCAACCGAATCTCGACGGCGCCGTCTCCCGTGTTGGTCGAGGTGCAGCCGTGGAGTGTGGCGTACAAGTGAGCCGAAGCCTAGCAGAGAGAGGTGCGAAGACGAGATCTAGCCGCCGCGGGTCGTGGCGCGCACGTACAGGCGGGCCGTCGGCCTTGAGGAAGCCCGAGAGGCCTCTCAGCGGCAGCGGGTCGGCGGCGACGCGGCGCGCAGACGCCGCATACGCCGCGACCGCGTCGTGCAGCTCCTGATCATCAGTCATGCATACTCAGTCCTCAATCCTTGACACGCCGCGACCGCGCCGTGCAGCTCCTGCTGCCGCCTCTCCTTGGGCGGGTAGAGGCCGCCAAAGGCGCCCGCCTCGACGGCGCCCCCGCTGGCAACCTTGCGCGCCGCCTCTGCGCGCGCGCGCCCCTCCTCGCGCCGGCGCGCGCGCTCGAAGATCTCGTCCTACTCTCGACTGCCTCTTGTGAGACCGCGGCGGCCCCTCGCCCTCTCTCTGCCTCTCGCCCGCTCGAACGGCTCGTCCTCGTACGAAGAAACCTCGCGCAGCAGCACCTCCGTGCGCGGCAAGTGCACTCGCCCTGCGTCGGTGAGGTACCCGCCAAGCTGCGGCATCAGCCGCTTGTACGCGAGGATCAGCATGTCGATCGCGCCTAGACACGAGAGTGTGGCCAGAGTGGAATAGACAGGCGCGGAATCTCGAGCCCGGCGGTGACGGCGTGGCTGTGTGTGGCGGTGTGGCGGTGTGACTGCGCGACTGTGTCCGGTGTGTGTGGCTGTCCGGTGTGTGTGGCTGTGTGTGGCGATGTGTGGTTGTGTGTGGCGCTGCGCGCTGCAGGTGTGTTGGAGCGGGTCCGGCGCGGTCTATAGTCGCGCCGTCGCGGATCTCGAGGGCAGGGATGTGCTAAGTAGTGGTTGATTAGTGGTTAATTCGTGGTTGATTAGTAGTCGCGCCGTCGCGGATCTCGAGGGCAGGGATGTGCTAAGTAGTGGTTGATTAGTGGTTAATTCGTGGTTAATTCGTGGTTGATTAGTAGTCGCGCCGTCGCGGATCTCGAGGGCGGGGATGTGCGGCAGGAAGTCGTTGCCGACGAAGAAGCAGAGAAAGACAAAATCGTCGACCACGCGCTCGAGGTCAAAGCCGCCCGGCACGGCGCCAAACAAGTTCTCGTCCGCGCCGCCAAACTCCTTGCACAAGTACTCGCGCAGCACCCAGATTTGCAGCATCTGCAGCTTTGGCGGGCCGATCACGGCGCCGTTGGCGCGCGCCTCTTGCTGCTTGGCCTGCGCCTTGCGGTCCAGCACCACCTCGCGCGGGACAAGAGTAGCCATGATCAGCCGAGAGGAGCCGAGAGTAGCCGAGAGTACGGCCCAGCGGCGCGAGGTGAAGTGCGGCTCAACAGAGTCGACTGCTGGGCTCCTCGCGGACTGCTGCTCCTCACCTCGCGCAGGATGGTGAAGTGCGGCTCGTGCGTCGCCAGGGCGAGCATGATCAGATCCGCGTCCAGCCCGTGGATGACATGCCGTGAGTTTGGCTCGTAGCCGTCGAGTCTGCGCTGGTCCCGGATGTGCTCCATGATCTTGTGCTCGCCCTCGCCCGGAACCGTCGCGTCCGAAAGGATGACCTAAGTGAAGGTGAGGTGAGGTGTCTCCCCACGTACTCTCACGTGGGGCAAGGTCCCAGGCAACCCCTCGCGACTCCGTCTCAGATCAGGCGCCCACACGGCATTGAAAGTGCAAGGCCCGGTGCGCGTGGGTGAGCGGTGCGTGCGTGTGTGTGTGAGTGAGTGGATGTGCGTATCTGCGTGTGTGTGTGAGTTGTGTGAGTTGCGTGCGTGCGTGCGTGCGTGCGTGCGTGCGTGCGTGCGTGTGTGTGCGAGGAGGACCTTGATGCCGCGCCACGCCTCGCACGAGTGGATGCGCGCCTGCACGTAGTACTGCAGCCAGCTGGCGAGTCGCGCCTAGTCTCGCCCGATCTCGGCTGATCTCGGCTGATCTCCACAATCTCCTGCGGCTGGCGCGCGACGCGCGCCATGAAGGCGGTGCCAGGGGTGATGACGTTGGAGTCGAAGCCTCCTCCCTCGGAGGATGGCGGCTCACGCCCGGCGGCCCGCAGCTCGGCGTTCAGCTCCTCCTCCACCGCCGCCTTCTCCGCCCGCTCCTTGGCTGCCTTGAAGCGGCGCGATCGCTGCTGGTTCATCTTTGCGCGCGGCGCCGGGCCGTCGATGGCGAGGTAGAGGAGCTTGCGCGGCCGGATGACGGAGAAGATGCGATCGATGTACTCGAAGATGAGCACAAACATCGCCTGTGCGCACGCGTGAGTCGGGAGTGGCGTGGCCGCTGGCAGCGCGGCCGGGCCCTGGCTGCGGGCGGGCGCTTGGCGCCTCCTCCGTCTTGGGCGCCTCCCGGCCCTCGGGATGGACGCACGGGTGGATGATGCCGTTCATATCGAGGTAGAGGTTGTCGAACTCCATCCCGTTTGGGTTGGGAGCCGAGAGGTCGAGCGCGGCGGGGTCGCTTTCGGCGGCGTCGACGATAATCTTTGGGTACTTCTCCGCGCACCAGCGGAAGAAGGCGGGGACGCCCACTGCGGCGGCGGCGCGAGCGAGTGGGCGGGGAGCGGGGAGGGAAGGGCGGAGGGTCGGGGAGTGGGGTGAGAAGGTGGCGGGCTGGGCAGTAGCGCACTGGCAACGCCGCGGCGAGGGTATTTTCTTTTGCCATGTGCTGGCGGATGAATCGCGCCGGAACGCTCTTCATCGCCGCCTTCCAAATTTTTTTTATATTATTAAAATTATGGCTCTTGGGTGTGCTCTCTTGCTCTCTGCGAGCTGCGGCTTCGTGCTGCCCGCCGCTCGTTTCCCGGCCGCCGTGCCCCCCCCGCGCTCCTCGCCGCCGGCCGCGAACCTGTTCGAGAATCTTTCCAAGATCGCCGAATACAACAAGAAGTACCTCGGCACAGCGTTTGCGGCACTCACAGACGACCGGAAGGCACGCGCCTCGCACATCCTCTTCGGGTTCAAGGAGAATGCTGAGGACGCGGAGGCGCGTGCGCGTGACGTGAAGTGCAAACTCGATAGCGGCGAGATCGAGTTTGAGAGCGCAGCCAGCACGTACTCCAGTTGCCCGAGTGCCGCGCGTGGCGGCGACCTCGGCGAGTTCAAGCGCGGCGCGATGGTGCCAGAGTTCGACGAGGCGGTCTTCAGCCAAACGAGCGAGCAGCTCGGCCAAATCATCGGTCCGATCAAGACGCAGTTTGGCTGGCACATTATTCGTGTCGATGAGCGGTCCGAGGCGGCTTGAGTTGCACTAGTAGAGCCGGAGCCGCATGAGTCTTGGTCAGGAGAAGTCGTCGGAGGAGTGGTCCCGTCCAGTGTCGCGCCTGATGCGCTCTGCTAAGGGGCCGGGGTCGTAGTCGTCGTGCTCGAGCGTCGGGAAGACAGCGACAGGTAATAAATAAATAAAACGCCACAGTCAAACACAAACGACAAAGCTCGACCACACCACAAAGAACCCTGCACAAAGACCGCAGGGCGGGGACCTGTTCCTTTTTACCCATCTCCTAGTAGAGGTGTCCGTGCTATTTATTTATTTAAACACAAAGCTCAAACTCGCTCCCCAGAGCCCAAGCCTCCAAGTCAAACTCTAACATGGGTGTCATGGCATAGAATTTTCAGAGGTATTTACACAGTGAATGAGAGCGGCACAGTCAGAGCAGAGCTCGCGCGGCTCTAGCGTCTAGGCCCGCTAGCCGGAAGCCGCTAGCGCTCCCACGCGCTAGCGCCGCCGCTCGAGAGCAAAAGTCCACCACGGCGCTCGCAATAGCAACCGTGTCCGCGTCGTCCTCGTCCATGGACAGCTGCTCGCCAGCGGGGCCCTCTCCAGTGCACACTGCCTGCAGCAGGATGGACATGTGCATGCACATGTGAACATGTGTGCATGCACATGCACATGCACATGCACATGCACATGTACATGTACATGTTGTTGTTGTTGTTGTTGTGCATGTGCATCACTGGGAGACGTCAGCGGTGATGGCGCTTCATTAGAACGGATCACATTGCGCAGCTGCTGTCCCTTCCCCGTCTCTCTCGTCGGCGGACGGCAGAGCGCTGCGCCCTCTCGCTCTGTCGAGCACGCTCTCGTGCTTCGTTGTGACCCACCACCACCCGTGTGCGTGATCAATCAGTGTCTACGGAGGGAGTGTCTTTGGCTCGCGCCAGGGCGCTCGTTGCTCCTCCGTTTCTTTGCATCTTCCGTAACTTGCGAATTCAGAAGACTGACCCACACACACCCGGAAGGTGACGGACGCGTCGTACGGTGATCTCAGGCCCAGTCAGTGAGGCAGTGCATGACCACTTCCTGATCATGCTGGAACAAGTTCCTTCCTCTTGCGTAACTCGTTATGCTCGATCGGTCACACCGCCATCACCGCCGACGTCTCCCTGGGAGATGATGGAGATGATGGAGGGGGGGGATGACACTGCTTCAGCAGCGTGTACCTCACGTTGTTTGTTAGACTGGACCCCCCCCCCCCAACCATTGAACACACCAGTGAGGGCGGGCGAGACGATCGAGGGTCCCGTAACATGCGGAATCGACCCTATCCCAGTGCAACAGTGCACAGACTGGGCCGGGAGTCGCCCAGCAGTTGCGGGAGGAGAAAACACACCAGTGAGGGAGGGCGAGACGATCGAGGGGTCCCGTACCATGCGGAATCGACCCTATCCAGTGCTCAAGTGCTCAAGTGGAGGAGAAAAAACTCAGCCGCTGCACCATGATGCAATCGGTAAGGCGGTCTGGCCAACATCCCTCGTCCGTCCCTCGTCGTCGTTGGCGTCATGCGACGCTGTCTCTCCCCGCTCGCGGACAAATGGACCCGCGAGTGCCATCGTATGAGTCGGCGGCGCCGCTCTTTGCCGACCCTACCCGTGACTTGCTCGGATCACTTTGCGCCTTCCTCACCGTGACAGTGGCGAGCATCGGTGCGTCTACTCCCTGGATTGCGCGCTGAAGCCTATCCCTCTGCACCTCAAGTTCATCACCAACTCCCACTTTCCTTCTTTGTGCTTTTCTACCCTCGGAGCCGCACGAGTCACTGCCTTCAACCTACAACCCCTGCCCTCCTGCAGGCGGGATCGGCGGTGGCGGCTTGCTGGTGCCGTTCAACGAAAGCAGCAATTTGGGAGGGTAGTCAGGGTCCCACGCAGCACGCAGTATGTTATGACACCCCCACCGATCTCTGGAAAGCCTGTACCACATAGTAACCCCCCAGCTCGCTTTAGGTGCCACTCTACATGATGGTGCTGCAGCTGGGGCGGTTCGCCATCCCGCTGTCCAAGGCGACCATCTGCGGGGCTGCGCTGGCCAATTTTGCCATCCAGAGCCGCAGGCGCCACCCGCTCGCCGACCGACCTGTGATCGCGTACAATGTCGCGGTGGTGTTTGAGCCGATGACGCTCGCAGGTCTGCGGGGTGGAAACACCGCGCCTCACTATCAACTACCTACCGCTCGCTTCCGCCGACATCTTCATCCGCCGGAGGGGACAAGAGTTAACCGCCCTCAAACACGTCGCTCCCACGATCTCAGGGACGGTGGCTGGGGTGCTACTGAACACAATCCTCCCAGAGTGGTTGGTGACGTCGCTGCTCGTGCTACTGCTCTTCTACACGTGCGAGATGTAGCCGAGATAGGGGTTAGGGCTGAGACGCACACATCCCGGGCGGGACAGGGAGGGTTGCTCTCTCCTTTGCAGCTTCCCTCCTGTCGATAGTTGTCGCAAGACGCTGCGCAAGGGGTTAGCGTTGTGGGCCAAGGAAGATGCGGCGGCGAGCAACGCCGCGCACGGCGGCTGCGACAACTTGCCCAAGCTGCAGCGGAGCCTAAGCGAGGCGATTATTGTGGGTGTGGCGAGGGCCCGAGACATGGGGCACCCGACAGCGCTCCCGAGGAGGCGTGAGCTGCACCTGCGGTAGCGCCGGTCACACACCCACTCTGAATAGGTACGATAATGGGCTCGAGGAGGCGAGCTGCTCAGCCGGAGGGAGTGTGGGCGGGTCTGAGGCCGGAGGGAGTGGGAAGGGCCGTGGCGGCCTTGACACGGATGGTTGGCAGGGCGCTGCCGTCGCGGCGCGGCGCCTGTCCGACAGCGAGAGGATGGCACCTTGCGGCCTGCTAGCGGTGCTCGTCCTCTCTTGGGGGTACGTGCTCGGCATGGCATTGCTGAGGGGCGGCCACGGCGCAGCACCGCTCTTTTTCGCGGTGCCCTGCGGCGGCTGGCTCTATTGGATGCTCATCGCGCTGAGCATCCTCGGCATGGTCTCCGTCACGTGTATGGTCGGCTGCCATTTGTCGAGCCTGCAGCGGCGCAAGGCAGAGGCGGGCCTCAAAGCCCTGGAGGGCGATATCGCTTGGGAGCGGGGGGCGCTCATGCGGCTGCCCGCCTTCTGCATGATTGCTGGCGTCGCAGCCGGTCTGCTGGGCATCGGCGGCGGGATGATGACGGGTCCGCTCATGCTCGAGCTCGGCATCAACCCGGTCGTCTCCTCGGCAACCTCCGCCTTCATGGTCCTCTTCACCTCCTCGGCGACGACGGCGCAATTCCTCCTCGCGGGCATGCTACGTCTCGACCTCGGCCTCTGGTACGGCGCGGTTGGCGCCCTCGGGACGCTGGTAGGACAGGGTATCGCCAGCTACTTCATACGCAATTATGCGCGCGAGTCTATCATCGTCTTGGCGCTTGGTGGCGTCATCGGCGTCAGCAGCGTGGCGATGGGGCTGGCGGGCTTGAATCATGTTGTCGCCGACTACCACGCGGCCAAGTGGGACGCCTTTGAGCTAGGATCGCTGTGCGACGCAGGGCGCGATGCCGAGTGATGGCACCGAGCACATGGCTAGCCCTACTCTTAGTCTTACGGCTACGTCAGTAGGATCTAGGTAGCAAGGAACATCTCTAGAGTCTTGTTTCTTTCGGAATATCATATCGAGGACGAGGCGCCGCGCCCGCGGTACACAAATCTCTGTGTGTAGGGCCGAGCGTTTTTGATATCTCGGTGAGTGGGCGCCCGCCCGCCGCCTCTGAGGGGGTCGGACCCCCTAGACTGAAAACAAAAACCAAGTGTAGAAACCGTCAAAAACAGCCTGCGAGAGCGGCGCTGCGCGCCGCCTAGAGGACGACGACAGCGAGGATGTCATGTTGCGCGACGGCGTCATCCATTTCGTCAAGCCACCTTCATCGTGACCGTCGCCACCCTCGCCGCCGTCTCGCCTACGTCGCCGCCGTCGCCATCATGGGCCTCGCTGCCGAGACGGTGCTGTTGCATCTGACTCAACTCTCCCAGCCCACCCCCCTGGCTCCTATGCCGACGTGCGTCCCGCGTGCTTCCCCGTCCGCCGATGTCTCTGCCGCCGCCCGGCGGAGCTCTGCAGCGCGGGCCCTCCTCGCCGCCTTCGCGCTGCCGCTGCATCGCTGTCGGCTCGTCATTTCTGTCTACGGTCATTTGGGGCTGCCATCGCTGTTCTCTCTCTCCTGGGGTCAGCTCCAAGCTGCCGTGTCGGGACGTCGCCCCCTCGGCTCCCCCCCCCCCCCCCTTAGCCCTTTCCGCTGAACTGCATGCTGCGATTCTCGCCTTGTCCCAGGAGCCAGGTGCGTGTGTCTAATCGTAGTGGGGGCCCTGCCCCCCCTCTGTTTTCTGTTTTTCAAAACGCCCGCCCGCCCGCCACCCCGAGGCGGCTCGGCCCCCCACTCACCGAGAGATAAAAAAAAACGCTGGGCCTAGCGCATGAAACGAGAAACGATGATATCCCGTTTTCTTCCCCACACACATATGTCATATCGACAAGTACCGACGGTGCCCCCCCCCCCCCCCCTCGGCGCGCGCGACGTACAGTGTAGCAGCACCACATGGTCCTTGGAACGTACAAACAACCTCTCTCCTCACCACCGACGGTGGCCCCCTGCGGCGCTTGTGTGCATGCACATGCACATGCACATGCACATGCACATGCACATGCACATGCACATGCACATGCACATGCACATGCCAGCGCCGCCCCTTGCCCCGCGGGCTGCACGCTCCCCTTCACGCCACCATGATGATGCGGAACGAGGCGAGCGAGCTGGTCCCCGACTTCGCGCCGTGGGCGAGGAGCACTGTGTCTCCCGACTGGACGAGCCCCACAGAGCGCGCCAGCTTGAGGCCATAGGCAAAGCGGCAGTCCTCGTCGCTCTCCTCGCGCGGGTGCGGGTAGTGGAAGGGGATGCAGCCACGATGCAGGTTGAGGGATGCAGCGAGGTGCACGTCGCTCGCGAGCACCATGATCGGGCAGCGCGGCCGGCTCTGCGAGATGAGGCGCGGCGAGTTGCCAGAGCTCGTGAGCGTGAGAATGAGGCTCGCGCCGTTCAGGTCCGCCGCCTCGACAACCGCGTCGGCGACCGCTTCCGAGGTCGCCAGCGGGTACTCGCGCAGAAGGTCGAGGTCCGCCGCCAGCTCCTTGTAGTAGATGGCCGCCTCCGCCTCCTTGCACACGAGGTCCATCATGGCGACCGCCTCGCGCGGGTACGCGCCCTTGGCCGTCTCGCCCGACAGCATCACGCAGTCGGCGCCGTCGAGCACCGCGTTGGCGACGTCGGACGCCTCGGCGCGCGTCGGGCGCGGGTTGCTCGTCATCGACTCAAGCATCTGTGTCGCGCAGATGCAGGGCTTGCCCGCGACGTTGCACTTTGCGATCATCATCTTTTGCGCGAGGAACACCTTCTCCGACGGGATCTCGATGCCCAGGTCGCCGCGCGCCACCATGACGCCGTCGGTGGCGGCGAGAATCTCGTCAAAGTTGCGCATCCCCTCGTGGTTCTCTATCTTGGAGATGATTCGGATCCGCTTGCCGACCACCGGGTCGGCGGCGACGAGGCACGCGCGCACCTCGTGCACGTCCGACGCCTTGCGGATGAAGGAGGCGAACACCATGTCCACGTCCTTGGAGACGGCGAAGGCGAGGTCGTCCCGGTCCTTGGCCGACAGCGCCGGCAGGTCCACATCCACCTCCGGCAGGTTGCACCCCTTCTTGGAGCCGAGCAGCCCCGAGTTGACCACCTCGCACTCGAGCGTGCCCGCCGCCGCGTCGATCGCCGCCACCTTGAGCGCGATGAGCCCGTCGTCGACGAAGATCACGCCGCCGACCGACATCACCTTGGGCAGGTTCGCGTAGTCCATGTAGATCTGGCTCGCCGAGCACACGTCCTTCTGGCTCGCGTCCGTCGTGACGAGGAGCCGCGCCCCCTTCTCGAGCATCACGCCGTCGCCGCCCGCCGTCATCCCCGTCCGGATCTCGGGACCCTTGGTGTCGAGCGCGATGGCGAGCAGCCGACCGTCGAGCGGCTCCGCCGCGACCGATGCGCGCGCATTGTCGATCACCTCGCCGTGGTACTCGTACGAGCCGTGCGAAAAGTTCATCCGCACCTGGCGAGGGCGGCGGCGACGCGGACGCGGCGTCAGCGCAGGCGGTGGCGGCGGCGGCGGCGGCCGCGGCGGCGGGCGGCCGCGGCGGCAGCGCACGATGTTCATGCCGGCGCGGCGCAACATCGTGAGCTGCTCGACGGCCTTGGTCTTCGGGCCGATGGTGCAGATGATGCCCGTCGCGCGCAGCCGCGACGGTTGCGAGTAGATGTCGAGCTTCCTGTTGTGATCCAGCTTGCAGACGGCCCGCTGCGCCTCGCCCTGCTGCTCCGTGTCGTTCATCGCATTCGACCCGTTGGCTGAGAGCTTTGCGAACCATTGAAGCAGGAACGCTTGAGGGTCAGCGGCCCGCGCGAGAATCGCGGCATTCACGGCCTGTTCAAGCGGCTTCGTGAAGTCGTGCTTGTTGAGATACTCCGCCACGTCTTGTTTGCTCATGGATGCCGTCGGTTCGGCTGTGTGTGCTGCTCTCATCATCAACACGGGCCGAAAAAAAAGGAAGTGCAGCCTCGAACGACTCAAAACGCTCGAGATGGTGCCCGATGGGCGACAACTTTAAGCGTCGACGCACGAGAGAGAAGACTCCGACTTGCCTCTCACACACCAACGAAAAATCCGCTGCCAGCAGGGGCCCAGGGTCCTCCGGAGTACTATACTCGAGTAGGAGGAGCAGCGAGCAGGATCGAGACCACTATACTAGGAGGAGCAGGATCGAGACCACCAGCACTCGCATGTCGCATCAACTGTACAACGCACTTATGTCACCGCATGCCAGCTTGACAAACCGCTGGGCTGAATGGCACTGGCCTAACGCGTCCCACCGGCTCTGCGTGGTTGCGACATCGGCGGCCTCGTCCCGCCCGTTGACGCAAGTACTGGCGGCCTTCCGGCATAGCCTCCTTGCCTCGGGACACTGCTGCACCAATCGAGCGAGCTCAGGGTTGAGAGGCTCGTCCTGGCCGAGTATGGCCTGCCAGGGTCGGCGCACGCCAAATGGCGTCGGCCAGTCCGACGACTCGCTCGCCGCTGCCATGTCCCACTGGCCCCCGACCGCAAAGAGTTGCGCAGCGTGTGGCGGCGGCAAGCGAAACTCGGTGGTGTTATGAGCAGCGTAGTGCAAGAGGGTGCCATCGTGCCCCCGGCGCACCACGTCCCGGTCCAGTGGAGCCGCCGGGTCGCGTTTCGCACGCTCGAGCATCTGTGATACCTGTGCTGTGTTTAGCAGTGCGAGCCCAGTGTCGCAGCAGCAGCTGTCCGCGCTTTTTGCAACGCGGCAAGCGTCGCTGCGTGGGTCAAACGGCGCGCCGAGTAACGTGTACTGCTGCTCAATGAACCAAGAGAGCCGCCGCGACGAGCCGGTGCAAAAGGCGACGTCGCGGTCGAAGAAGAGCACATGCGGCGACGGAAGTTGCGCATAAAAGCTCGGGTCCAGCCGCATCGAGGTGAACGTCTCGCCCCCCCCCTCCGTGATCGGCAAGCTGCAGGTTTGCAGGCGGCTGTTCGCCACACCGTCTCGGATGCGGCGTCGATTGCGTGCGTCCTCATCTGCTCGCAGCTTGGCATCGGCGGTGTCGGTGCTTTGGCTTGTGGCTTCGTGGACCCACAGAGACTCGAGCAGCGCAGAGTCTGGAAAAGCGCTCGGAGGGTGGAGCCAGTAAATTGGCACGTCGAGAATCTGCAGCGCGTGCGCCAGCACGTCCCGCAAGCCCGCATCCCAGTGCGCATCGACGATGCAAGCCGCAATCGGCGCGGTGGGGAGCGGGCCACCGTCACTGACGCGGCAGCGAATCTCTGCAACAGCGGCAGCGCTCTCCTGCCGAGGGTCGATAGAGGGAGAGGAGAAAGGAGCGACTGCAGCATCGCCAAACGCGGTGCTGACGTGGTCAACGCTGGTGCTGGATCCCAGGAGGCGCGTCTCGTGCCCCGCGTTTGCGCGTGGCAACCGATCTGCTATTCCCTCGCCGGCGGTGCGGGGATACCGAATGCGCCGCCACCCGCACCGGCGCGATCCACATACCACTGCCCGTGACGGCACCTCGAACGCACCGCTGCAGCCCTGCTTGAGCCAGCAGTCCATGCCGTCTCGCCGCATGTGCAGGTCAAAGCCGTCGCAGATCCTCATTCCGCTGTCTCGAAGCTCGTCGCAGAGCTTGCTGCACTCGGCACTGCCCGAGACGTTGAGCTTGCCGCTCAATGCGAGCAGATCGGCGCCGTCGCAAAGCGTGGTCATCCGGCCGAACTGGCCGCCAGCGTTGCGCTTCCATTTGGGATAGTGGCCCACCCAGAGGAGCGGCTCGCACATGCGGCCCTCGCTGCTGAGGTACTGCCGCGCAAACACGTTGGAGGCCCTTTCTGCGCCCGACTTGTTGTGCTGCAAGATGGTGAAGAGAGGGCGCGTGTGCGTGTAGGCGCGAGCGATGCCCGCCGCCACGAATACCATGTGGTCAGCCTGCGCGGCGGCGGGCGGCAGCACGACACGCCGCCCGACGGCCGGTGCTTTGCCGACCGCCTTTTCTCGCAGGGCTGGCGTCTTCAGGTAGACCCGCTGGATGGACACACAGACAAAGCCAGACGCGCCACGCGCTCTTCCCTGCCACCGCCGGGCTTCTTCAACAAGCACTACCGATTCCTGCTCGACGCACTCGAGGGCGATGCGGCTGTCGCCCATGTCGCGATGGTGGCGTCGGGCGCCGGCCTCTCGGGGGTGCGCACTGCGCTCGCGACGCTGGAGCGGGTCGAGGATGCCGCCAGCCCAGGTTGGAGCAACCGGGCACCGCGACACGTCAGCTGTTCTCTACGCTCGACTGTCTGGTGGCCCTGGCTCCTCCTACCCCCAAGCCACTGCGGCTCGATCCACCCACGTGGGGCGCTCCCGCCGCACGCGTGCGGGAGCGCCCCGACCCGTCTGCCAGGTTGCGCTCGAAACGCGCAGCGAGGGAGACTGTCTCTCCCTCGGACGGCTTGGCTGCACCTTGCCCCTTGGTGCTCTCGGCGGCAACGCCGTTATCGGTAAGTTGAGCGTGTAAGGATTGCGATAAAAAGCAAGCGAGGTGTCCCTTCCCACGGAACGTCGCCGCTTGACGTTTTATCTCCTTCGTTCGCATTTTGGGCGGCCATCGCCACACTCCCTAGCTCAACTGGCGACCCTGACGGGTCGCCAGCCGATCGTTATGAAGCAGTTGTCGTCCAACCCCCCCTCTCTCCATCGTCTCACTGGGAGACGTCAGTGATGGCGGTGTGACCGATCGAGCTACAAGCTCTCTCTCTCTCTCTCTCTCTCTCTCTCTCTCTCTCTCTCTCTCTCTCTCTCTCTCTCTCTCTCTCTCTCTCTCTCTCTCTCTCTCTCTCTCTCTCTCAGTGTATGTAGCTCTTCTTACATTCCCGAAGGAGGACTACTGATTTTTGCGGACGGTCACTGTGAACGCGCGCTCCAGAGATGAGCGATACCCCTCACACGACAGTCCTTACGACTTCTAGGATTGCAAGCCCCCCTCGCAATCGGTGCGATCACTGTTTGGATATGGCGCGCTCACAAGCGCTCGCGTTTGAGCGATTGGGAGCGCCCTCTGTGCGCTTAAATCCTTCCATCATGCGTATCATATGGGTACGATTGTGAGCGCCTCTGCTCGCAATTAGGGTTGTCAAACGTTAAGAGCTGAACAGTGTTGCTAGTGTTAACAGTGTAACAACAGAACAACAGTGGGGCTCCCCAACAACAGTAGCTAACGTTAGGCCGGCTGAACAACAACAAGGAAGGCCTGGCAGTGACCCACGACGATCTCTAGTGTCCAGTGCGGGTAGAACCCGAAAATACCCGGGAAAACCCAGGTATTTTCGGGTTTTACCCGGGTTTTTTGGCATTTTCTGCTTGCTGACCACTGAACAACAGTAACAACAGTAACAAACAGTAACAGCTTGGGCTGGGGAGAACACTTGAACAACGTTGAGGATTTCAGCCAACAATAGTGCAACTGTTAGGCCCAAAGTTAACGTTTGACAACCTGTGTAGGCATAGCCTCGAGAGTGCCAGCAGCCAATCCGAGGCGACGCGCATTGCGCCAGAAGCGTGCACACGATGGAAGGACACCTTCCTACTGGCCGTACGATCAGGTCGTCACTGAATGCTTGATACTAAGGCCGCGAGCTATGCAGGTGATCAATTGTGCAGCAGGGCACGGTCAGCAGCGCCGACAGGCTGTCGCAAGGCGTGATAGCATGGCCGCAAGTACGTCGAATTCCCATGAAAACAAGTAGAAAATCGCGGACAAAATTCATTCTGGAAAAAAATCGGCGCCTGCGGCGGGCCATGGGACCCCATCCCCCCCCCCGCATGGATACCCGCTAGGGCCCCCGCATCCCCCCAGAGTGTCAGTCGCGGTCACCTGATGACCCCCATGAAGTACAGCGATCGCCACCTCGCTGGCCTCTCCGCAAGGCCCCCCGACCGCGTCGAACTCACCCGGCGCGGGCTCTCTCGGCTACGGGACCGGCCCCAGCTTCGGCTGAGGGCTAACAAGCTGCCGAGCCCAAATCACTGTGAGAGTCGGGATTTCTTGGTTAATAAAAATCACACACACACACACACACACAACAAAGAGTTGTTTGGTATTGCTAAAAATCTCTCACACACACACACACACACACACACACACACACACACACACACACACACACACACACACACACACACACACACACACACACACACACACACACACACACACACACACACACACACACACACACACTCACACTCACACACACACACACACACACACTCACACACACACACACGCACACGCACACGCACGCACGCACGCACGCACGCACGCACGCACGCACGCACGCAGTCCTTTGAGAGCATTGCTCGCGCCGACGCCTCGCCCCAGGCAGGGGCTACCGACCTCGCGTGCCTGGCGAGTACAGACAGACCACGGGGGCCTTCTATTCACAGCACAAGCTTTGCCTGGCGGCTTCAGCATGTTTTCCCAGACGGATCCCCCCTGTGAAAAAGTGAGGCGTGGTCTGTACTCGCCAGCTCTCGTCAGTGCGGAAAAGCAAAGAAAAAGAAAACGTGCTGCGCGCCAGCAAGCACCTCGCCGCTGACCTCGCTCGTCGTGGGTGGCCCTGCTCCTCCAGACTCGCTGCTACTCTGATGAAGTTCGACGCGCTCAGCCGCCGCTCATTGCAGCACGTGCCGCTGGTTCTCGCCGCTGCGCTAACGTCCGCTCCGTCGCTGCCCGCCTTGGCGCGGCCGGAAGGCGTGAACAAGCCCGAGCTGCTCCCAACAGGGCCTGTTCAGAGAGTGATTGACCTCCAAAAGTTCCTCACATCGGGCGAGCGAACAAAGATGGACACGCAGCTCGCCAAGATCGAGGCGGAGACTGGCTTCAAGCTGCGCGTCCTCTGCCAGCAATACCCAAACACACCGGGCCTCGCCATCAAAGACTATTGGGGTGCGAGTCGTCGCAGCGGCACACAGCTCTTTTACCATCGCCGATTCCTCTTACGTGCGCTTCCACACGCGCAGGCCTCGACGACAAGTCGATTGTGCTCGTCGCCGACAAGGGTACCAAGGGCACCTCAAACATGCTCAACTTTAACGTGTGCGTACGTTAAATCAGCTCGTGTGGCGCATGTCCGAGCTCCCCTCTCCCCCACACCACACAGGTGGCCGAGGGCGCGAAGCTGCAGCTGCCAAACACCTTCTGGACGCGGCTGCAGTCCACCTTTGGCAATACCTTCTTCGTCAAGGAGAATGGCGAGGATGTGGCCATCCGCCGCGCCGTCGACGCGCCCCGCCCTCTCTGCCCCTAGCGCGCCGACCCTCTCTGGTTCGTCACCCGAATTTACGCCTCCGTGTACAGGCCATCGACTACTGCCTCCGCGAGGACCTCGGCTGCGTCGACGTGCCGCTGCAGATCAAGGACCCCTCGCGCGCCATGTACGGTGACTGTGCAGAAGAGCCACACCCCGGGCTGCCGCGCCTGGCCCGTGACCCCGCCACCCTCTGCCGCCTTGGACGCGTCAGGCGACCCGACGGACCCGTTCAAGGGGAGCAACCCGTTCGCCTCGGTGACGGACGGCATCAGCTCAGGCGCGGAGAAGATTTTCGGGTCTTGAATCATAATTGAAGTGTGATGCATGATGCGTGATCGTGACGCCACAAAAGAACTCTGCCTATCTGCGCAATACAGACTACCACGCTATAAGTCCTAAAACACCTTCGCGCGCTTTCCGAGATTCCGACCACAATAGCTGGAAGCTCATTAGCTGCACCTGCGCAGCGCTCGCAGCGGCTGTGCAGTGTGCACAGCTCACAGCTGACGGGTGATGCCACCGCGCGCTCAGCTGCTCTTAGTCCCACCATTGAGGAAGCCCGCATACTGGTGCGCTGCGCCCAGCTCTTCTTCGAGCTCCCACCGCACCTCCACTCCGCTCACGTGCCGCTTGCGCGTCAGCTTGTTCGAGAAGCCCACCTCATGAGCCCCCTCTGCGAGGAACGGGGCGGGAGAACCGGTGAGGGCGGGCATGGAGACGGGCGGTGAGGAAGTGAGGCGCTACACCTGGGCCCTTCCAGCACCATTCCACGAGTGTCTCAATTGCGGCCTTTGGCCCCTCCGCGACGATTTCCACGCGTTTATCCGCGAGGTTATACGCGACGCCGGTCAGGCCCAGCCTCTCACCCTTGGCCTTGGTGGTGTCTGCATCACGAAGGGCAGACAAGGTCTGCATAAGGCCGGGGTGGGGTCCGCGGGAGGGTTATCCTCTTCCTTTACCTCTGTAGTACACGCCCTGAACGCGGCCCGAGACAAAGATGTGCGCCCTCGAGAGCCTCGCCGTGGCTTTGCTCATGCGTCTGTGCTGAGACCTGAGTGCTGTGACGCGAGAGCCGAGTTTCCCTCGGGGGGAGAGAGAGAGACGCCAAGCGCGACCGCGCTGACCAGGGCGAAGATGAGTTAGTTCTCGGTGCGTCGCGCACCGCGGGGGCTGGCGTTTGGCAGCGCCGCTGCGCCCCCTCTGTTTCTTTCTTTTCCGCCCAACCGCCAATCTGTCTTGCGTCCACCCATACCGCGTCGGTGTCCAGTCCGAGCCTGGCTGTTCTTCACCTTTCTACCTACCTACCTAACCGCCAACAAAAGACTCCCAATTTAGTCACGTTTTCTCACAACACTAGGCACCACACTCCTCTCTCTAGGTGTTATGGGGTGTTATGAGCAGCCAGCCATAACAGCCATAACACCTGTTATGGCCGCTCCCATAACCTTGAAGAAGGTAGTCGACAAGCTGCCGAGCGCAAATCACTCTGTGTGACACATTTCTTGTTGGCTTCTAAAAATCTCTCTAACCTTGTCTGGGGACAACTGCGGCGCGCCGTGGTTTCTTAGATTTTTGCGGAAATCGCTTGGTAGGGTTTCTTCACCGACGTTTTCTTAATGCCCGCAACCCACTGTAAGGGCGTAGAAGAGGTCTACGCCCTTAAGATGCACTTGGAGCACTTGGAGTGCAGTCAGTAACCTCACATCCAGGGCCGGGGAGCTGAGAAGCGCACCCAGCGGGCCGGATGATCGGGATCGGGCTACGGGCTAGAGAGCCCTGACCCCTAGCTAGGGGGGTGCGCGTTCGCAGGGAAAGGGCCGAAAGACGTTTCTCCGAGGGTTGGTCTGCGCTGATGAAGTGGCGATTCCGCGTCGGTCAGCGCCGCATCTCCCTTTGGTCGTGAGCTTTTGCCGCCTTGGCATGGGCGGTGCCGCGTCGGAGCAAGCTTGCTCCCTGCAGCTGTCCCAGGCAATTGCAGGCTGCCTGTCTGTGGTGCCTTCTCCTAGTTGGGTTCCGCAGACGCCCAAGCGGCCTGTGCCAAAGTCTCCGATGCTGCCGCCTTCGGCGCCGCTTCGCAAGGCTGATTTCGCTGAGCGGACCAGGCCGGCGGCGACCTTGTTCCGCCCAATCACTGCCGCGGCGGAAGGAATCTGACCTCAGAACAGGCAACTTCAGTGCAAATCAGACTTATTTCAGGGGCCTTCGCTTTCCGTCGGCGTAGCAAGTAGAAGTACGGTAGTGCCGATGCAGGCAGCATGTGGTCGCATGTTTTATACACACGGCCCTTGTGTGTTATGTACACACGGCCCGCACGCGCCGCGCTGTAGCTGTCTCGTGTTGGCGATGCCCTTGAGGCGCTGCTGCAGCTTTGCGCGGCTTGATTTTACGGTTTTATGATCTCTCCATTACCGCCTTTGGCCATGATCGGACAGAGAACAGGGACGAGGGGCACTGAGCGTAGGCTCTCCGGTGGCCTAACCCGCGCGCGCGATCCCAGGACCCAGCGGACCCGCCCCAAAACGCGCCGCCCCCGCTCTCCTCCCCCGGGTGCGCCGGGCCCTCCCCACCACACCGGGCCCCTCTAAACACCCCCCGGCCCTCTCACACACGCCACTCCGCGCCGCTGCTCACGCCTCGGAGATGGCGTACGACATCGCCTGGTAGACCTCGACGCCGATCTCCGCCTCGGACTTGACCATGTCGTCGGTCGCCTGGGGAAAGGCCTCGGGCGGGTCTCGGGCGGGTCTCGGGCGGGTCTCGGGCGGGTATCAGAGGGGCTCGGGAGGGGCTCGGGTGGGTCTCGGGAGGTTCCGAGACGGCTCCGAAGGTTCCAAGAAAGCTCCGAGGCAGCTCCCCGCAGGTTCCGAGAGGGGCCCCTGCTCAACCCTGGGGCGCGGCGCGCCTTTTCGTATGCCGCCTGGTACTGCGCCAGGCCCGTCTTGATTGCGTCCGCGTCGAGCTCCTCGAGCGGCGCCGCCATCAGCGTCGACACGGCAAGCTTGGAGTCCTCCCCGATGGAGGCGAAGCCGCCAGAGACAAAGTACCTGCGCCGCACACGGGCGTGACACAGCCTCGCACGCGGCGCAAACGGAGGGGGTGTCTGAGGGTCTGTGCAGAGACGCCGCTCACGGCCCGGGCCAATGTCGATTCCAGGTCGATGTCAACGGCAGAGCCGACGCCGGCTCGTCTCAGGTAGCGAGTGGCGGCGGAGCTGCGGCTGATCTCGGCTGATCTCGGCTGATCTCGGCTGAGGTCTCGGCTATCTCGGCTGATCTCGGCTGAGGTCTCGGCTATCTCGCACTTGGTCAGTGGCCCGCCCGCCGCCTCCTGAACCGACACCACGCCCGGCTTGAGCTCGGCGATGGTCGGGACCTAGGATTGAGAAGAATGAATAAGTAATTAGGCGATGGTCGGGGCCTGGCACAGCTTGTGGGAGATTGTGGGAGATTGTGGGAGATTGTGGGAGATTGTGGGCGATGGCCGGGACCTGGCACAGCGGGAGAGGCGGTGAGGGCAGTGGACGGCGGCGCGACGGCGGCGGTGATGGTGAGGGCGGTGATGGCGGCGGCGGCGGCGGAAGGGGTGGAGGGGGCTCGACCACACACGGCCAGAGGCGTGAAGAGGCCGCTGGCTCGCGGTTGTGGAGGGGGCTGGGAGCCGGGGGCGGGTAGCGATCATGTGGGGAGGGGGGGGGGGGGAGCCTTGGCTCACAAGGCGGCGGTGGCTGGACTCGAGGCGGGGGCAGAGGCTTGTCCGTGTGTCTGTGTGTGCTCCGGTGAGACCGTCTCTCCGTCTCGCTGCCTCTCCCCCCTCCCCTACCGCGTCGGTGTCCCAGGCTGGCTGCAGTCTCGCCGCTCCCTGTCTTGTCTGCCCGTCGGTCTGTGGCGGGCACATTCTCTCTGTCTAGTTGTGGCACATGGTTGGGCATCACGCCGAACTGGCCGTCCACGCCGGGCAGGATCACCATCTCCACCTGGGGGGGGGGGGGGGGGGCAGCTGAAGGAGTGTGGCGATTCAACGGGCAGGGCAAGTTGCGACAGCGGCTGCGACCGAGATTGGGCGAGGCAGCAGTGGCAGGGGGGGAAGGGCGAGAGGGCGAGGGTGCAGCGCTGCGCCGCGCCTTTGGAGCATCCTCGCGAGCCGCGCGCGTCGCGTGCACGAGGCGGGCCGCCGGTGCAGCCTGCCGGGCGAGAGAGCTGCGCAGCGCGCCGGCTGCCAGCGGCCGCGCGCCGGTGCGGAGCGCGTTGGAAAGCATCGCCGGCTGTGTGCCCTGCAGCGGCGGCGGACGGTCGTGGTCGCGGCGCAAGGGAAAGAGAGGAGAGAGTGAGGACGTGGGGGATTCGAGAGCGGTGAGGGAGCGTCTGGAACGCATGTGGCGGCTGTGTGACGGCGCAGGCCCGTCTTTGGGGGACGACTGCAGCTGTATTACGGAGGCTTTTGGTGGGGACGCCAGTCCAGATGGCGAAGCGCGGGGCAGATGTGTGCAGGCGCCGCATCCGGTGCTCATGAGAGAGCGGGCGGGAGAGGGGCGGGGGGGAGGCGGTAGTGGCGGGGTGGTTTGTGAGGATGTCGAGGTTCCGGGGAGGCTGAGAGGTGGCGCAAAACACCTCTCCCTTTCGGCGTCGGGGCTGAAAAAAGAATTTTGAACAGGCAGCTTGAAAAGAATGTAGGTAGGTCAAAACAGCGCCTGAACGCATGGCGTTCAGGCGGCACTTCTCTCGCGTCGGCTCCGCCGAGCGCTGCACAGAGACCATCTTCACTGACCACCAACGACAGGTGTGCGACTACGCGCTCGTCTACGCGGAGAAGAAGAACGACGGCGAAGCGCCGTACTCGGTCTCCTTCACCGCGACGCAGAGCGGCGACGTCATCGTACAGCTGCACCCGCACTCGCAGCTCGAGCGCGCCGTGCGCCACGAGCGGCAGGCGCAGGCCACGGAGCCGCCTGCGAGCGCGAGCCCTGCGGCGCCGCCCGCCCCTGCCGCCGCGCCGCCAGCCGCGGAGCCACACTCTACATCCTCTACACCCTCCCTCAGGGTTTTGGCCGCTTTGTGTATCTCGACATCTCGAGACCTCGCTCGAGAGAAGGCTGCCCGCAGGGCCCAAGTCGGGAATTGGCTTTTTTTCTTTGGTGTCAAAGCTTAGTGAGGTTAGGTAGGAAGGTGAAGAACAGTTTTCAGGCTCGGACTGGACACCAACGCGGTATGGGTGGATGCGAGACGCTGGTGGTCAGCACAAATTCTTCTTCGTGTTACCTGCCAGTGCGGGTGAACCTTCTTTTGTAGACCGCTAGGATTGAGAGCAGCCTCGCTCTCAATCCTGGAAGTCGAAGGATTGTGAGCAGCACTCCTCGCAATCGTAGCATCTCTGTGCGATTGTGAGCGCCTACGCTCGCAATCCTACATCTTCTAAGACTAAGAGCAGCTCCGCTCCCAAGGTGACTGGTGACGCCTACGACTACTACCAGCGCGCTCGCAATCCGAGCAAAGTCTAGGATTGCGAGCAGCAATGCTCACAATCCGAGCAACATGCCTCCGATTGCGAGCAGTAGCGCTCGCAATCCTAGAACTTTCGCCGATTTGCGACGGCGACACCGCCCACAGTCCTACGACTTCTAGGATTGCGAGCGGGTCCCCTCGCAATCGGTGCGATCACTGTTTGGATTGTGAGGAGACCCTCCCGGCGCGCTCACTCACAAGCGCTCGCGGCTGGAGCGATTGGGAGTGCCCTCTGTGCGCCTGCTAGCAATCCTTGGATCTTGGGTACGATTGTGAGCGCCGCCGCTCATAGTCCTACAAGATGTAGGATTGCGAGCGCTACTGCTCGCAATCGGAGGCATGTTGCTCGGATTGTGAGCATTGCTGCTCGCAATCCTAGCTAGCTAGACTTTGCTCGGATTGCGAGCGCGCTGGTAGTAGTCGTAGGCGTCACCGGTTGTCACCTTGGGAGCGGAGCTGCTCTTAGTCCTAGAAGATGTAGGATTGCGAGCGTAGGTGCTAGCAATCGTACATTACAGAGAGAGAGAGATGCTACGATTGCGAGGAGTGCTGCTCACCCTCCTTCGACTTCTACAGAGGCGCGGGCTACAGAGGAGGCGCAGAGGTATCGAGCGTGGCAGCTCAGAGCTTGCCAGCAGGACCGAGGAGGGCTCGGCGCGAGCGGGCCGCCAGCTGAGCCCTGGTCTGACAGCCTGACAGCAACCCCCGGACAGCGCCTGACAGTGCCCGACAGCCTGACAGCGCTGACAGCACTTTCTCTGACAGTCTGACAGCACGTGTCTGACAGCCTGACAGCAGAGTCTGGCAGGCGAGGGGTTCCGTCGCTGTCAGGCCCTAACGTGACAGCCTGACAGCTGCCTGACAGCCCGACAGCACACAGTGGCCTGACAGCAGCGCTGACAGCCTGACAGCCCGACAGCAGCACAGACCGTACACAGACCCCGTAGAGCCTCTTTCTTGTGCCCCATTGAGGGTATAACAAAGTTACATGCAAAGACATGTGAGTGTGGTCCATGTCCATGTCCATGTAGTCATGGGATGGTCATGGGTCTCTCTCTCAACCCTCCCGCCCGCCACCTCTGCGGACCCCTCTCTAGCACCGGCGGCTGTGCTACTACAAATGAAGCTACCAGCTAGCCTTCTGGGGCCCTACAGTCATATGCCTAGGGCGTCTGGGTGGGGGTGGCCGCCGCCGTCTGTGCCGCTGCCGCCGCCGCCGCCTGCGCCGCCATCTGCGCTCCCCAGGCGGCCGCCCCTGCCGGCGTGATCACGCCATAGGAGGGGGGCAGCTCCAGCGCAGAGTACCTGCGCCAGCTCTCCATGAGTCAGCGCAGCAACGGGGTCTTCATCAACGACCCCAAGGGCCTCTTTATCCTCCGGTGGTACCGTGAGGTGAAGGGTGACGGGACCCCCCCCCAGACGGCCCGCGCTACCAGAACACAACAGAGCGTGCAAGTACTACAAGCTGACGAGCGACAACGATGGGGAGGCCTTCCGCTGGACCAGCAACTACCAGATCATCAGCAAGGTGTACCTGAAGAAGCACTCCACCCTGCCTCTCTGCTATTCTCTCAGTGCCGCAGACAAGAAGATGGTGACGTCCACCATGAAAAAGATGGTGGGACCGGAGGCAGAGTAGAGGCTAGAGTATGTATGTGTAGTAGAGTCCTGCTGGTCTCCTCTTGATAGTGTCATAAGTGTGGCTGGTGTGTGTCAGAGCCTGACAGCACCCCGACAGCACCACCTGACAGCACCTGACAGCAACAGCCCAACGTCTGACAGCAGCAGCAGCCTGACAGCTCTGACAGCTCCGACAGCGTCTGACAGCAACACCCGACAGCTCCGACAGCACCTGACAGCTACAGAACCCCTCGCCTGTCAGACATGCACCCGACAGCACCCGACAGCACTGACAGCACCTGACAGCTGGTCTGACAGAGGCACCTGACAGTGCCTGACAGCTGCCCGACAGCCCGACAGATCACCTGACAGCACCTGACAGCCTGACAGCCAGGGCTCAGGCCGCCAGCAGAACACGGCGCCGCGACAAGCTCTTTTCACAGCGCGAACAAGTGTGAACAGCTCCACGAATACCTTATAACACTGGTCTGATACTCCGCTCAGGTGCTCAGGGCACCCATCTGTCCCAGGCATGCAAGTTGTACGGGTTTGTTTCTGCAGGAAGTGGAGCTGTGAAGCTGTCCACATTGTCACACTGGACCACAGGATTGAGAGCCCTGCTGCGTACCGTCGTGTGTATGCCGAGCGACTCCTCGGTTGCCGTCGAGTGGGCGACTCTCCTCTCCTTGTGGCGTGAGCGTCAGCGCGCGCTCGCCTCCCACGCCGCCGAGTCGCTCAAGCTTCCCGCGCTCCCTCTGCCCAACGGTGGCGGCGACACCGCCGGCGACACTGCCGGCACGGCTGCCGCCGGCGGCTCCGTGCAACACCTGTACGCGGCGGACCCGCAGCACCTTGCCCTCGACGTGCAGGACGCGGCGACCGCCGCCGGCGACCGCGCGAGGACGTTCCACGCCCGCCTTGCCCGGCTCGATGCAGGCATCGCTGTGCTCGGCGCGGCTGCGGCCGCCGCGGCCACGGCGGCGGCAGCGGCCGGCGACGAGGGCGCCGACGCGTGGGTGGAGAGCGATGCGACGGGTGCGTGCGCCGCGCGGCCGTACGTCTCCCTCGCCGCGCGCAAGCGGTTGCGGGTGCTGGATGGTCCGGTTCCGGTGCCGCGCCCGTCGCAAGCCGCCTCTGCGGCGCGTCCGAGCGTCTCTCCCGTCGACACCCTCCGCGGCCGGTCTTGCGTCTAGGCGGCCGCGGCGGTGCAGACGCCTCTGTGGGCGGCGGCCGGCGTCGGGCCCGACCGTCTGGTCGCGGGAGACGTGCTGCACGTGCCCTTCTCGGCACGACGGATAGATAGAGAGGCGAACCAGAGGCGAAACAGCGGCGAAACAGCAGTGAGGCCGCGACGGGGACCGCGGTATGGGTAGACGCAAGGGCGCAGAGACGGTCACACTCGTGCGACACACCGACACACAGACGAGACACTCGGCGCCGGAGGCGGTACAACTCGGAGCCTTCCACAAGCCTTCCACGAGGCCTTCTTCGAACTCGCCTGGTAGGCGCAGGAGGCGGCGGTCTGCCGCCATCTCGCCGCCGCCGCCTCGGGCGTGGCTTATCGGCCGACGATCTGGCGCGACGAGGGAAGCAGCGCCGTCACACGCCCACTTGTGGACAGGCGCGCCCTCCGCCGCCGATTTGTCCCTCGCGCCGTCCTTGCTGTTTGGGCGGACGGCGCTGGATTGCGCGCGGTTCCTTGCGGATGAGGCGCTGCAGCGAGGGGAGGAGGAGGCGACGGGGGAGGGGGAGGGAGAGGCGATGCGGGGGGGCGAGGGAGAGGCGATACGGCGGGGGGAGGAGCAGATTGCGGCGGTGGAGGCGGCGCGCCACGCGTTGCGGTGGGCGGCGGGAGCTGGCGGCGGCGAGGGAGATATGGGGAGATATGGGGAGATATGGGGAGATGTACGGGGAGCTGGCGGCGGCGAGCGCGGCGGCGAGGGCGGCGGCGAGGGCGGCGGCGGCGGTGAGGAAGAGGCGGAGGAGGAGGCGGAGGGGGGCGAGGAGGGGCAGACGGCCGGCGGCGGCGGAAAGCGGCCTCGCGAGCGGGCGATGCTGTTCGTTGGTCGGCCATTCCTGTCCCTGTGTCTCCCGGACCTGTCCTGGCACTTTTTGCAGGCGATGCTCCTCGTCGGTCGGCCTGTTGCGCTGCGGGGCGGGGCGGGGCGGAGAGTCGGCGCGGCTGGCTTGGTGGACCAGAGGTCGTTCGGTGCTGCGGCGCTGCAGGCTCAGAGCGGCGAGCTGCGGCGCGGAGTGTACCGCACCTTTGGACCCACCTCCGTCTCCGGCAAGCCGACGGGGTGCGTGGTGGACGTGGCGCTCTCCTCCCCGAGGGGCACCGGCCTGCGGCTGGCGGTTGGCTCTGGCGAGGGCCCTCACGAGGCACTGCTCTACGACCTCCGCACTGAGGCGTGCCGCGTCCTCGGCAGCGGCGCCGGCCAGCCGCACGCGACGACGGTCTCTGCTGTCCGCTTCTCCGCGTCGGGCGAGCGGCTCCTCACGGCAGGCACACGGCGAGACCGTACCTCGGCTACACCTCGGCTGTACCTCGGCTACACCTCGGCTGTACCTCCGCCGAGCCCGACGAGATCATCTCTCCCCACCCTCTCCCACACTCTCCGACTCTCTGACGCAGGGTACGACGGCACGGTGCGCGTCTGGTCGGCGGCCGACGGGAAGCTGAGCCGCTGCCTCGGCCACCCCCTCCCTGTGCCCTCCGCCGCCGACGCAGAGGGCGGCGCGGGCGCGGGCGCGGGCGGCGGCGCGGCGGGCGCGGAGGGGGAAGGGGGAGGGGTGGGCGCCGTCGAGTTTGAGCCCGAGGGGGCGGAGGAGGAGGAGGAGGAGGTGCCGGCGTGGGCGTACGTGTGCGAGGAGGCGGGACACACCGACCACGTGCTCTGCCTCTGCACGCACGCGCGGGTGGAGGGGCTGGCAGCGTCGGGAGGCAAGGACAACGCGCTCGTGCTGTGGGACGTGGAGCAGGGCAAGGCGCGCAATCGCTCGGCTAGATCTCGCCAGATCTCGGCTCATACCTGCAGGGGCGGCGGTGCGTCACCGCGGTGGATCCATGTCTCGGCTATCTCTGGGCCACATCTCTCGGCTGTATCTCGGCCATCTTTCGGCAGGTGCGCCACCGCATCGAGCTCGGCCGCAACCCTCTCGACCTGGCCTTCGGGCACGGACCCTGCGACGGCTCTCTCCTGGCCGCGATGGACTCGCTGCCGGGCGAGGAGGGTCAGGCCCTCGTCATCGACGCGGAGACGCACCAGCTTCGGCTCGCGCTGAGCGCGTCGACGGTCGGTCCGGGCTGCGCGGGGCACGTGTCTTGCCTGCACGCGTCGCTAAGCGGGGGGACCCTGCTGACCGGCGCCGCCGACGGGTCCGTGCGGCAGTACTGCGCGCGCGACGGCTCGCTGGTGTTGCAGTACAATAGCGGGATGCGAGACGTGAACCTGACGTCGCTCTCGTGCGACGGCCGCTACATCCAGGCGTCGGGCGACCGCGACGAGGCTCGCGCGCTCTCACCGCGCGGCACTGGCCCTTCGCCGACCCTTCGCCGACCCTTCGCCGACCCTTCTCTGACCCTTCCCTGACCCTTCCCTGACCCTTCCCTGACCCTTCTCCGAGCCTTGCAGGCGCACGTGCTCGACACGCGCCGGCCCGACAGGCCGCCGCACAGTGCTGAGGCGCGAGGCGGCGGCACCTGCCAAGACATGTCCACGACATGTCCGGGACATGTCGCATAGACCGCTGCACGTGCTGAGGCACGAGCCGGTGGCGCAGCACGTCAACGGCGTGACGGCGCAGTGGGCGCACAGCGCGGGCACGGTCATGGTCACCGGTTCGGACGATTGCGTGGCGCGGCCGGCGGGACGACACACCGTTTCTCCGCACGTATCTGTTTCAGGAGGAGTGTTGCGTTTCAGGTGCGGCTGTGGGACGTCTCGCTCGCCCAGCCGATGCTCACCTCGTTGCCGGGCCACTCTGCGCCGATCAGCTGCCTCGCGATCGCACCCGACGACGACCTCGTCGTCTCTGGCGGCGACGAGGGTAAGGTGCGCACGGCCGCCACACGGGGACGCTCGGGGAAGCTCTCGGCTCCTCTCGAGCCATCTCGGCTCGTCTCGTACAGGTGGTCGCGTATAGCCGCCACTCGGCGCCTTCGGTGCTGCACATGCAGAGCGGCCGCTGGACGCTCGGCCGCGACCAGGACAACTTCCTCAGCCAGCGGGGGGTGCTGCCTGCAGCCGCGGGCGCGGGGCACGGCTGAGAGAAGCAGCGGTCTCGGGGAGGGCGGTGTGTATCAGCCACCCTATGCCACCGTCGCTATCCGGATAGCGACGGTGGCAAACCCGTCCCGGGCCGGCTTTATATAGGCATAGGTCGTGACTGATATACACCGTCGCACCAATGGCGAGAGTTAGCTACAAGATTGTTTGCCAATGAAATCCGCCCTTTAGCAAAAGGTAACTCTACATAGCGCTTAAGCGGCGCATGTGCGCGTGCTCGAGTGCGCGTGTCAGTCAAGCGTGGCATAGCTGTACCTCTCCGCCTGCACCGCTTGCTCCACTTTATCACGGAGCTCGATCGGGAACTGCTCCATGACGGGCGGGGAGGCCAGCGCGTCGCCTCCCCGCAAGTGCTTGATCTCCGCCACGTCCTGTACGCCGGCCGCCAGCAGCAGCTCGACCGCCTCGCCGGGGAGCTTGCGCGACCCCGCCCACGTTTCGAGGTCTCGCCGCAGCGCGGCATCCTCGAGCTCGTGCAGGAACGACGGCAGCCGCTGCGAGAGGCGTCGCTTCGAGTCGACAGGCCCCGGGCGCAGGTGCGAGATCGCACCGACTGCGAGCTTCGGCCGTGGGGCGACTCGCTCCGACGCGCTCCGCAGCCGCACCTTGCCCACCTTGCCGCCAACCTTGCCCACGTTGCGCATCCACCCCATCAGCCCAAGCCGCTCCTCGGCGTCCGCGTCCCCGTCGCTGCTGTCGCTCTCGCTGCTCTGGCTGCTCTCGCCCTCGCTTCTCTCGCTGCTGTCGCCCGCGCCGCTTCCCGCCTTGGCTTCGCTCCGAATGTCGTCGTTCCGCTCGTCGTTCTCCTGCTCGGACGCTACCCCGCGCCCGGCCCGCAACCCCGGCGCCGACGCGTTGCCTGCAGAAGCATCGCCCCCGCCGCCCTCTGCGCCCGGGAAAGGCCGCCGTCCAGGGGCGCTCGAGCTCCGCCGCTTTGCGAGAGTCTCGCGCAGCAGCTGCAGCTTGAGCCGAGGGGTGAGCGCCCCGGAGGCAGCGACGCGGCCGGTCTTGGTGGCCGGCGCCTTGCGCCCCCGAGCCCGCGCAAGCCGCTCGGCGACACGCACTGACGATGGCGTCGCAAGCGTGTCCGAGAAGACCAATTCTCCTGACGCCGCCCCTGCCGACTCTACCGGCGCCGCCTCTGCCGGCGCTGCCTCTGCCGGCGCCGCCGCCGCAGCCAACGCCTCTGGCCCCGCCTCCTCAGCCTCCTCCTCCGTCTCCTCCGCTCCTTCTGTTGCTTCCGCCGCGCTTGCCCGCCGACTTGCCTCCGCCGCGCTTCCTCGCCAACTTGCCTCCGCCGCGCTTGCCCGCCGGCTGGCTACACTGGCCCTTGCCAACCGAGCGGCGATGGCACGCTCTCTCGCCAGCTCTGCCGCCGTCGGCTCTGCCACAACCGCCACCTCTGGCTCGGCCGCCTCAGCTGCCGCCGCCTCTGCCACTGCGCCCTCCGCTCCGCCTGCTTCTGCTGGCGCCGCCCTTGCTGCAGCAGCTGCCTCGGTCAACGCCGCCGCCGATGCTGCCTCTGCAGCCACCCTGTGCTTCGCTAGCCTGGCGGCGATAGCCCGTTCCCTCAGACTCTTCACTCTGGCGGCCCGATCTGGCGGCAACACCGCCAACGCCGCCAACAGCTCTGCCCTCGGCGATGGCATAGCCTGGAGCTCGCTCTGGGTCACCCGGCCGTCGGCGTCGGCGTCGGCCTGAGCAAACTGCATGGCCGTCAGCCCGCCTCGGCCCGCCATCTTCCGCTGCTCTTCACGGGTGACCACGCCGTCGCCGTCGATGTCCGAGATCTGGAAGGCGGCTTCCCTCTCCGCTACCGCCTCTTCCAGCGCCGCCCTCTCCGCCGCCCCCTTCTCTGCCGCCGCCTTCTCCGCGGCCGCCTTCTCTGCCGCCGCCTCCGCCTCAATCGCTGCCTTCTCCGCAGCCGCCTTCTCCGCAGTCGCCAACAACGCAGCGACCCTGTCGGCAGCCGCCTTCTTACTGTCAGCAGCCGCCTTCCTAGCAGCCGCCTTCTCCGCAGCCACCCTGTCCGCAGCCGCCTTCTCCGCAGCCGCCTTCTCCGCAGCCGCCTTCTCGGCAGACGCCAGCAACGCAGCGACCCTGTCAGCAGCCGCCTTCTTGGCAGCCGCCTTCTCTGCCGCCGCCTTCTCTGCCGCCGCCTTCTCTGCCAAAGCCCTCGCCACTTCCTTGGCTGCCTCCTCCTCCGCTTTCACTCTTGCCGTCTCTGCCGCTGCCTCCGCCGCCTTCTCCGCCGCCGATGGCCGCCTCATGTCACCGAAGCCGAGGAGCTCGGACGGACTCCAAAGGGGCCCGCCCGGCGGCGGAGGCGGCAGCTCCTCTTCTTCGCCCTCATCGGAGGAGGAGCCGGACTCCGAGTCGGACGTCTCCGAGGCGGAGACCATCTGCTCGAGGTACTGCTCCAGCGCCTCGCGGGCCGACTTGACGCCGTCGATCCGCGTGACCTTGAGCGGTGGGACCGCCACAGCCGCGGCAGCCGCGCCGCCTCTCTTTGGCTCGCCGGTGCGGAGGGAGAGCCGCGCCGCCCGGAACTCGGAGAGGGCATCCGTCGCCTTGGCCTCGCGGTCGGCGACACTGCGGCGATCGTGCACCTCGACCCCCTCCTTGTCAGGCGAGGGCCGGAGGGGCGTGGAAGTGGAGGGCTGCGCCGCTTCGGCGGCGTCGTAGGCCTGCAGCCGCTCCGCCATCGAGCCGCGGGGTGGCGCGTTTGAGATCTCTGCGGAGAGCTTCTTGGACACGGCCAGTGAGACGGCAGCCCGCTTACCCACAGGCGATGGCACCGGTGACGGCGAGGGCGACGGCGCGGGCGACGGCTTGCTCCGCAGAAAGCCGCCCGTGCGGATCTGGCTCAGAAAGCCGGGAGCCGCGCGAGACGCCACGGGCGATACCACCGCCGGAGGCGCCGCCTCACCTGCGGCCGCCTCTCCCGCTGAGCGGCGGGCGGACTCCTCCTCCACCCGAGCCTTGGCAACCCTGGCCGCCGCCGCGCGCGCCTTGAGCAGCGCAATCTTGTCCGCCTTCTCCTTCTCCTTCCTCTCCCGCAACCGGCTCGCCTCCAGCGACGGCCTCACCTGCCCGGTGTGCGAAGCGCTCGACGACCCTCCCGAGGGCGCCGCCGACCCATCCGAGCGAGCCGCCGCCGCCGTGCCCGCTGCCGTGGGCTGCAGTCTGCTCATCACTCCCTCCCCTCCAGCCGGCTTGGCAGGCGCGGCTGGCGCCCGCTTTCGCAGCTTGACGCCGGCGCGAATCTGACTCAGCATCGCCATCGGCACCGCGGCTCGCTTGCCGGCTGGCGAAGGTGGGGGCGACGGCGACGGCGACGGCGATGGCGATGGCGACGGTGCACTCCTCCCTCCTCTTGTCCCTCCGCCAGCCCGCGCACGTTCTGCCGTCCCGCCAGCCGCCGCCGCGCCCTCGACTCTTGCCTTGGCCGACCGGGCGGCGGCAGCTCTCGCCCGCAAGTGCGCCAGTCCGCCGGGACCCCTCTCCGCTGCGGGGCTCCCGCCCTCGAGCGCAAGCGCCGCCCGTGCGACCGCACCCTTGACCTGCGGCGGCGACGGCCCCCCTCCCGCTCCTCCCGCTCCTCCTGCGGCCTCTGCCGAGGCAGACGGTGCCGAGGGCGCGGCCGCGGCCGCCGGCGCGCCTGCCGCAGCGCCTCTCACCGGCGCGGGCGACCCCTTGGCCTTCTTCGCCCAGGTCAGCGCCCTCGCCGCGGCGGCAATCGACGGCATCCGAGCGCCGGTCGGCGACGGACTGGGAGCGTCGCCCGACTTGCCCGCCAGCCTCGTCAGCCGGTCAGCGGCCGACGCCGCGGAGGAGGCCGTCTGCTCCTGTGCCTCGCGTGCCTTGCCCGCCTTTGTGGCGGCCGCCTTTGCCCGCGACCGCGCGATCCGCTCCTCCTTCTCCGCCCTGGCCCTCTCCGCCTCGGCCTCCTTCTCTGCCTTTGCGGCGGCCGCCTTTGCCTTTGCCGCCTCCTTCTTGCTCGCTGCCGCGGGAGCAGGCGCAGCTCCAGAGCCTGAGGCGCTGCCGAACTTCTCCGCGATGGCCTTGTTTAGCGTCACGGCGTAGAGGACCATGCACTTTTTGTCCGGCTTTGGGTACGTCGCCATCATGTCCTCCACGTCGAGGAGGCGGTCGACGTCCAGCCGCCGCTCGGCGACGCCAAACGCGAGCTCAAAATTGGCTGCGCGCGCCTCCGGCGTCGCGTTGGTGAGCGCGTCGAACGATCCGATGTCCTCTGGGAAGCGGCGGTGCAGCAGGGCGCAAAAGGCCAGGCCGTCGTTCCACGATGACTGCCAGTTGGTGACCTGCACGAGAGGGTAGCCGCTCGTCTCTGCCTTGGCCCAGCGAAGGAGCGCCTCCTGGTCGAGGCCCTTCTTTGGTGGCATTCCGCCGCCGCCACCGCCGCCGCCGGCGCCGTTCCCTAACTTTCCCTGCGATGAGGCAGCCGAGAACGGAAAGTAGAGCTGGGCAGAATGGGGACGGAGCGCGGCGGCTCGCACGGCGGGGCTTGATAACAAGAAACAAGGCACGCTCCGAGGACATCGTAGGCCCTGTCTGCCACGAGTCCACTGCTCCACCGCCCTGTCCACGGCGGTAGCAATTCCCGTCCGTGATCCGTTGTGTTGTTCCCGCATGTGGAGGACCATGGTCCATGCTGTGATTCTCAGCCTGCACGAAGATTTTTCTCTGGTTGCCGCCATCGCCGTAGCGACCTGTCGGCAGAGTGCTGCCCATTTACTGGTAAATGAGCGGGAATTAACAATTATTTGATTCTCCTTGCACCTTGGGACGTACGAAACTCCGTGGAATAATCGGGCTCTGGGCCTGTGTGATGAGATGTCTGGTAGCCCCCGCCTCAGAAGGGCTCCATCTCTCGGATCGCCGCGCCTATCAGCGGCAGCAGCCTGGCCGGGTCCACGCGCACTGACTCGTCCCGCCCGGGCCGGCCGCGCGCAAAGTCGTCCGGCCCCGTCACCTGGTAGTACACCTTGGTGACGTGCCGCACGTGCCTCCACAGCTCCGCCTCCATCGTCCACGAGCACCCGCCCGCGGCGGGGTCGCACTCTCCGTGCCTCGCCTCCTCCCCCTCACCGAGCATGTAGTTGACGAGCACCGCTGCGGCGCCCTGCGGCAGGAAGGGGAGCAGCATCGAGATGCCTCCGCACGGGGAGACGGCGACCGTGGTGCTCGCGACGAGCCGCAGCTGCTCGGCCATGCTCATCCCCGCCCAATCAGTGAGCACGATCTCCGCGACGGAGCCAAACTCCGCGCGGACTGCCGCCGCGACGCGCCGGACGTTTGCGATTGCGCGCCGTCCCTTCTTCGCGACGATGATGATGGTGTGGGAGGAGGGGGGCGCGGTCGGCGAGATGCCGTGGGCGGCCAGGACGCGCGCGCGGTAGAGGGCGATCAGCGGCTCCTTGCCCACGTTGAGCTCCTCGCGGTTGAAGGAGTCGAACGTGCCGCCGACCAAAAGCTTGTCAAAGCAGACGGGGCGGCCACCGCCGCCGCCGGCGAGAGCGCGCGCCTCCGCCTCAAGGGTGGGCGGCTCCTGCAGCGCGCTGGCGGCCGCCCGCGCGTCGGTCAGCGGGCCGAGGAAGGCGGCGGCAAACTTGCGGCAGACGGCGGAGGAGGAGGCGCGCTTGGCGAGGGTGGCGCAAGAGTGTGTTCGCAGGACGCGGAGCGATGGCGAGTAGACGCCCAGCTGCGCCATCGCGGCGAGGAGCGGGAAGGCCTCGTCCCACGCCACGTGGCCGAGGTTGGTCGGCGCAAACGGAGCCGACAGCGCGCTCACGCCTCTTGCCCACACGGCTCCCGCCGGCACCGGCCCCGGCTGCGTGCGAGCTGACCAGGTGAGCTGCCGCTTGTAGGGCACGTCCTTGTTGAGCGCGACGAAGTCGGCGTTGCGGCCGTCGCCGCGGCTCTTCCGCCACCGGAATGTGTGCTGCGCGCCCTGTCGGTGGTCGTACACCGCGGGCAGCGACAGCTCGGAGACGTTTCCCGGCCGCGAGTAGAAGACAAAGTCCGACTCGTTGGGGAGGTAGCAGACCTTCTCGAAGACGCAGCCGCGGTGCTCGACCGCGCCGATCGTCTCGAGATCGCCCACGCACCGCCAGCGAGAGTACGCGCCGCGAGGCGGCCGCCGCCCGGGCAGCCGGATGCGCACGGGCGCCGTCGCGCTGAGCATGACGGCGGCATCGGCAGCGGAGGTGGAGGTGGAGTCGCTGCCGGTCAAGGTGTGGGCGAGGAGGAGGCAGAGCACGACCAAGGCGGCACACAGGCGGAGGGTATTGCGATCGCAACAGTGCAGAGGTGTCGCTTGCATCCGCCCGCCGGCCTGGAGAAAGAAGAAAAGCCGGTGCGCGTTTTTCTTTTCAGTTTTTTTCTACAGCACCCTCTCGTTTCCTCTCTAGTTTCCCGACGGGATACAATGGTAGTCCGTGGAAATCATCAATTTCCCCGGGCGCTGAGCCGAAAGAAAGAAAAAACAGACAACCCAAGGGTGGGATGGGAGGACGCTACTGCCCAACGGTTTTTCTTCAATTTAGAGAGCTGGTGGCGCGACCGACACCTCAGCCGGGGGCGCAATGCAATTGTACGTGTACATGTCGCTCATCAGGCTGGCACTCCTAGCGGCCGCCGTCGCACCCACCGCCGCCAGTTCGGACCACGCCGTCAAAATGCAGCAGATCATCGGTACCGCGCGAATAGTGCGCACCGGCTGTGCAGGAGTCCCTCTGTAGCCGCCAGCTCGCGTCACTGCAGCCTCCGCCTGCCTACAGGCTGCCGGAAACGGCGACACGACACTTGCGCTCGCGAGCTTGGACAAGCTTCAAGCCCAGCTCGACGCCTGGCGTGCCGCCATCGCGGAAGCCGCCGCCGCTGCCGCCGCCGTGCCGGCTGCGGAGGCTGCAGTGCCAGAGCCGCCAGCTGAGGAGACGGCCTTCTCGATGAATGTGACGTGCGCGCGAGCCCACGCCGACTGGACTCGTTCTCTCTCCCCCCACCGGCGGCCGGCTGCACGAGCGCTGGTGGCCGCAGGCTTGCTCCCAAGCGTCGGCGGCAGCAAGACACAAACATGTGCTGCTCGCTCCGCCCGCCCGCAGGTATGTGCCCGACAAGTGCCGCCGCAAGTCGGTGGAGGGGTCGGTCATGCGCGTCCACTACGTCGGCAAGGTGGTGGCCACGAACAAGGTGCCTCTCTCTCTCTCTCCTCGGCACCCGTCTCTCCCCGCCAAGCTTTCTTTTTCTCCGACCAGAGCTGGATTCGGGTACTGCGGGAGGACCAGCGCTGTCCCCTTCCAACGGCCTCTCGCCCTCCCCACTCCTCTGCACATCTCCCGCCCGTACCCCTCGCCCAGGCCTTCGCCTCCTCCTTCCACACCGGGTCGCAGCCCTTCCGCTTCGTCCTCGGCTCCGACGAGGCGCCCGTCGCCGGGTGGAACGAGGGCCTGGTCTCCGGGCGTAGATGCCACGCATGTCCCGGCGTAGTTGTCCACGCATGCAAGCCGCGCACGCCTTCGCCACGCCAACAGCTGAGAGGGTGTGCGCACTCTGCGACACCGCAGCGGAGGAAGGGAGAGGGAGGGAGAGAGGGACAGGGAGAGAAAGAGGGAGAGAGAGGGAGAGAGGGAGAGAGGGAGAGAGCGCGGCGCCACCCTGCGCCCCTCTCCGCCCCAAGGTGGGCATGTGCGAGGGCGAACGGCGGCGCTTGATGGTGCCGCATCGGCTCGCATACGGCGCCCAGGGCACCAAGGGCGTGCCCCCGTACGCGGACCTGCAGTATGACTTCGAGCTGGTCGAGGTGAGCAGCCCGAAGCTGCCGCCGAAGAAGAAGAAGAAGACGCGCAAGGGCGGCGCGGAGGACAAGGGCGAGCTACGGTAGGAGGCGGTAGGGGCCACGAACCTAGTCTACGGACTCTGTGTACTGTGAGGACACGCGGTGTGTGGCAGAGTTGTCAGGTCTTAGGAGAAGGGAATCGAAGGGAAGGGGCGCCCCAGACCGCTCGGGACCGCTCGGGACCGCTCTCGGACATTGGTCATTGCTGCTCCTCCGCGTTTAAGGTGTAAAGGTCCTAAGGTGTAAAGGCTACTCGTTCCATTGATCACTGTATCCCCCGGCACAGCTCGCGTTACCGAAAACCTTCACGATTTTTTGTGAACAAATTGCGCCATTTTGTCCCTCGCGGTGCCTTCCAGAGGCAGCTGCGACCCCGCCGAGTGGACGGGCGCACACCGCGCCATGCCTCTGCGCGTCCTGGGGAGGGACAAAATTGTCGCCGCCGGAGACGACTCGACGCCCTCTGGGGGGAGGCGAGGGCCCTAGGGGATACCCATGCGGGGGGGGAATGGGTCCCCCCAGCCCGCCGCAGGCGCCGATTTTTTGGCATTTTTTTTCTTTTTCGCGCGATTTTTTACTTGTTTTCATGGGAATTCGGCGTACTTGCGGCCATGCTATCACGCCTTGCGACATCCTTTCGGCGCTGCTGACCGTGCCATGCTGCTCAACTGACCGCGCCTGCATAGCTCGCGGCCTTAGTCTTCGGCATTCAGTGACGACCTGATCGTACGGCCAGTAGGAAGGTGTCCTTCCATCGTGTGCACGCTTCTGGCGCAATGCGCGTCGCCTCGGATTGGCTGCTGGCACTCTCGAGGCTATGCCTACACAGCCTCGCGCGCATGGGCAGTCAAGAGGGACCATGCACCTTCTCAGGACAGCGCCGGTGCCTCTCTCTTGGACCGGCAAAGTACTCCTCGAGGTCTCTCCAAATCTGCCCTCTAACCAACCGTAACCATTCGGGAAGTCGGTGCTAATAGAGACTAACAGAGCCGGAGCCCCGTTTACGCACTTCTGCGCGGCGCACGGTGCCTCCGGGGGCCCCCGCCTCCCCCCAGAGTCGACGCCGCTGAGATCGGAGATCAAGCTCTGACAGGTCGCACGTCGCTCCTTTGACGCCGACGTGATTCACCCGTGCAGATCACATCAGGACACGGTCTCGACGCGCTCGGTACGACGCCTGCGACCCGTCTCGGGTCAGGTGGCACGACGCTCATCGCGCCTACCAGCGCTGCCGTGCAGGTTGCCACGACGAGGTCGAGCACGCTTCTATACGCTCGCCTAGCCTTCCTTTCTATCCCATTAGGCAGTCTGGGAACGGTGGCGAGCAGAGGCAAAGCCTACGAGGGGTGGTGGAATCACATGTCGCGGCTACTGCCGGCTCGACCCCACGATACGAGCCGGTCCGGCGAGGCTGACTTTGAGGCACCATCATCGGACGATGTCGACGAGTTGGGTCGCTCTCGCGGTACCCAGGTAGCCCCCCATACTAGGATCATCGGCCATGGCCGCAGGGAGCGCGCCGCGGGGGAGGGCGCTGGAAGCAACACGGATCCTCTCCGTTGGACGTTTTCTCAAGATTAGCGTGTGAGAGAGTGAACTGGAACTAGCCTAAGGACCGCGCGCGCAAAATGTAGAGAGCTAGAGGTGTCTTAGTTTTGTTATTTCACCAACTTGTTTCCGACCAGTTGAGAGTTGTGGAGAGTGCTGGCACACGCTGAGCCTAGAGAGACGGTCGATTCCGCATCCCTGGTACTGGACACGTACATATAGAGTAAGGGTGTTTAAGCTCCCTGCTATCGCTGCATCTCGGCGGGTGTGCGCCGGTAGCAGCCGCCGCCACCCTCGTCGAGGATGGCGTCAAGGAGCGCGGCGGCCATCTTGCGCCCTCCCTCCGGCGACGGCTCGACCCGCTGCACGTAGTCTCTCGGGTCGCTGCCGTCGAGCGCCTCGAAGAGCGGGAATGGCACAACCTCCACGCCCGGGATGGCGACGCGCCGCGTGGCGAGGCTGAAGAGGGCGCGGATGGCCGCCTGCTCTCGGGTGATCTCGAGTGATCTCGGACGATCTCGAGTGATCTCGGGCGGTCTCGGGCGGTCTTGGGCGTTCTCGAGCGATCTCGGGCGATCTGGAGTGATCTCGCGCGCGGGCGGCTGCCTGCAGCCGCGCGGGCGAGCTGTCGTAGCAGACCATCTGGCAGCGCTTTGAGGAGGCAGTCAGGACACGAGTTCACTACTTGGTGGACCAGTGGACTGTGCGGTGTCGGCCGTCTCGCCACATGTTTGCGTGCTAGCCCCACGTGCGTGTGTGCTGAATGTCCCTCGCCCTGGGCGTGATGCGCGTGCGTGCCCCTGCCCGAGGTGAGACTGTACACTACAGGTCGCCTTGAGGAAGCAGTCCGCCCAGGAGCCGCGCCCGTGCACGTCCAAAAAGTAGATCATGCAGACGACCACCCTTGCGGGCCGCCGGCCTAATCTCGGGTAATCTCGGCTAATCTCGCCGGCTGGCACTGCACCTCGGTCCCATCGAGGGTGATCTCGGGTGATCTCGGGTGATCTCGGGTGATCTCGGCTAATCTCGGCCGGCGAGCAGTCGCTCGATGTAGTTTTGGACGCGGTTGCCAAAGAGGTCGACAAGGTAGCCGAGGCCGGGCGGGCAGCCGCAAGGCGAGACGAGGCAACCTGCGGGCAGGCAAGCTGTTGAGTAGTCCATAGTCGATGGCGGGAGGGAGTGGGCCTGCGGGTCAGACTGTGGGGGAGACTAGCTGGCTGGTTCATTGAGGACGGGTCGCATGTACTCAACCCTTTTTCACGCACGCGGGCCGCCCACGACCGACTGTGAGTCTCTCGGGGCAGGCTCCGGGACGGCTCCGGGCAGGGCCTGGGAAGGGTCTCGGGGATCCCGGGTGGACTTCTGACTGTCGTTGCTGCCTGTCCAATCTCGACGGTCTGTCTTGTGCGTCTGGGCTCGGGGTTGTGTTTTTGCGGGAACAGACAAGGGCGTGAGGCGATGTGTGCCCTGGCAGGCCGCAGCAGGCGCAGCCAAGGAGGGGGGGCCCATAGGGTGATCTCGGGCGATCTCGGGCGATCTCGCATTGCAGCCTGGCAGGCCGCAGCAGGCGCAGCCAGGGTCGACCCGCAGGTTGGGTGGGCAGGCGCAGGCGCACTGCTCTATGCAGACCTGTGGCACGAGATCGGAGGGGAGATCACGCGAGATCGGCCGAGAGATATGCCGAGAGAGCCCGAAGATGCAATGTACCTCATGCGGGTGGGTGTGTCGCCCCGGTGTCCTGCGCAGCGTGCCCCGCGCAATGTCTACTCCCAGACCTGCGGCGTGCAGCAGGCGACCAGCGAGAGGTTGAGCGCTGTGAAGAGCAGCGGCTCAAGCGCGATGTCGTTGCCGCCAACCGACACGACCAGGACGTCGTCCGGGCCGATGGCACTCGCGATCAGCCGGTCCTGCGGCGTGAGCCGGCCGCACGCGCGCGTGTTGAGCGAGGTGGCCTCGACCGCGGTGTTGAGGCAGAAGAGGCGGCCGCCATGCCCCCGCCGAACCAGCTCGTCGTTGAGCCAGTAGCACACGTCGGTCTTCATCCTGCCCGGCGCGAGGACAGCCTCGTACCCGTTGGTCGCCGCCGCCCACGAGTCGAACCAAAACTTGTTGTCGAGCGAAGAGTCGCCTGCGAGGAAGATGCAGGAGCGGCGGCTGCCGCTCCTGCCTCCGCGCAGCGACGCGTGCACGCGCCGCAGGAAGTTTGGGTTGTGACCGTAGTACTCAGAGTAGTACTCGCCGGCGCCAACCAGCGGCGTGGTGGTCGAGGGCGACATATACACAAACTTGGTCGGGGACCGCCAAGCTTCACGCCCAACCTCGGCCGAGCGGAGCAGCAGCGGGCGCGGCACGAGGTGCGCTCGACGCTCGAGGCCACTCGCGTGCCCTGAGCGGCCTTGCCGGCAACGCTGGGCCCCGTACTGCCTTTTGGCACGACAAGGGCGCAGACTGGCGCGGACTGGCACACGGACGGGCACACACACCGGCACACCAAAAGAATCGCACCAGCACACACCGAGTTTGAGAGAGCTTCAAACAGCGCCTGAACGCATGGCGTTCAGGCGGCACTTCTCTCGCGTCGGCTCCGCCGAGCGCTGCACAGAGACCATCTTCACTGACCACCAACGACAGGTGTGCGACTACGCGCTCGTCTACGCGGAGAAGAAGAACGACGGCGAAGCGCCGTACTCGGTCTCCTTCACCGCGACGCAGAGCGGCGACGTCATCGTACAGCTGCACCCGCACTCGCAGCTCGAGCGCGCCGTGCGCCACGAGCGGCAGGCGCAGGCCACGGAGCCGCCTGCGAGCGCGAGCCCTGCGGCGCCGCCCGCCCCTGCCGCCGCGCCGCCAGCCGCGGAGCCGGCGCCCAAGACGTACGCCGCCGCAGCCGCATCGCAGCCGCAGGGTGCCACCGCGGGTGGCCAGCCCGCCGCGCCTGCGGGCCCGGCCGCCGCCGCGCGCGTGCCGCCGCCGCCCAGCGGCGGCGGAGTGCGCGGCTGCTCCTTCACTGTCCCTAACCCGGGCAGGAAGCGTGGGCAGCAGCAGCGCGGCAAGGGCCGCGGTGCCAGGGGCCGTGCCGATGCTGGACCCCGTCTCGTTGACAAGAACGCGCTGTCCGCGCGCGGCAGCGGGCCCTCGCGCCAGTCGCGCTCGCCGTCGCCCGACTCTCCGCCCGCCAAGCGGGCCGCCTCCGCTGACTCGTCTGGCTATGAAACCGATACGCCGGACGAGGTGCAGCAGGAGGCGGTCCGCAGGGTATGCGGCGCGCTCGGCATGAGGGAGCAGTTCGAGGCGGCGATGGCGGCGGGCGAGCTGCTCGAGATGCTCGAGAGCTTGCCGCGAGGGGCGGTCGAGGCCTCTGTCCGACAGATGCGGGGTTACAACCGCACGGGCGAGTGGCCAGAGCCCATTCTCACCAGCCCTGCCCCGCAGCGCGGCCGCTCGCCAAGCCCCGTCGATGAGTGGTCAGATGGTTAGTGCCCGAGAGCGAGGGGTCCGGGGGGGAGCACAAACATAGGACGCCCAGCCTTGCCCTCGTGCCGCCGAGTGCGTATCCTATGCGAGAGAGATCCCCTGTGCCCTGTGCCCAGCCCTCTCCGCGCGGCGATGCGCCCTCCCCCCTCGCTTTTGCAAAATCCTGCAAAGGTGGGGACGTGTCTGTCCTCGACCCAGCCCTAGCTTGGGATGTCCGTTGTATTTATTTATTTATTTATAGAGATTTTTAGAAGCCAACAAGAAATGTGTGACAGAAGTGATTTGGGCTCGGCAGCTTCGAGCTTGTCGACTACCGGCCGGAGCCGGAGTCGGAACCGTAGCCGAGATGGTCGTCGAGGGTGTCGAATAAATATGTCATTCGCCTCGCTAGTAGAGCCGGTGCCGCATGAGTTTGAAAGGTCGAGGCCGAGGAGAGCGATGAGTCAGACGAGAGGATGAAACAGCAGGAGAGAGAACGAGGATGAGAGTGGGAACTGGGAGAACGCGAGGTGGCATGAAGGTCGCTGCGAGAATTGGTGAGAAACTGCGAAGAGATAGGAAGAGGCGGACGCCCGAGGGTGGGCGACGAGGGTGGGCGAGATAAAGATTTTTAATACCAAACAACTCTAACACTCACGTTTTTTGTGGGCGACGGCTAGCACGTAGCACCACACTTCTGTCGAAGAACACTTGTGGCGGCTGTATATTCTAACTCTCTAAGGCATCTGCGATCTCAGCTTCATCAAACGCTTCCAGGTATACCCGGGGTTTTCCAGGTACCCGCAAAATACCCGGTATTTTGCCGACCGAGCGAGTCGGCTGATTTTGGGCCCAAACCAGCCTCAGACTCGGTCGGCTCAGAGCCCGTGAAATTGACGATTTTCGCGGAGTTTCCTCGGGAAACTAGAGAGGAAACGAGAGGGTGCTGTAGAGAAACACGGAAAGGAAACGAGACGGGGTGAGCGAGGAAACATGGGTACAGCCTAACCGGCACGCCGGGAGGAGGCGGTTGCTCCGTCCGCCGCCGGACCGCCCCCTCCACCACCCTCGCCCTGCGGCGCCGCCTAGACCCCTAGTGAGTGAGTGCTCGCCGACCCTCCCCACACTTAGAATCTTAGTCGGCATCGTGTTTAGGGGGTCACAGTCACAGATAACAAAAGTCGAGCAAACCCAAAAAATCAAATCCGCCAAGGCTGCTTCTGGATTGCTGGATTCGCAAAAACCAGAAGCAGCTCGGCGACGACGGGCGCTCTGTGGCAGACAGAGCAGCGGCCGCCCAGGCGGTCGCTGCTCCGCCCCGTCCGAATCCGTCCGCCCGCGCGTGCTGCTGCCGCCGCCGCCGCCGCTCCACCCGGTGCCCGTGCGTCGTGAGAGTTGCTTTTTGTGTATGTGTATGTCGTATGTGTGTGTGGACTTCTGTCGCACACTTGACTCTTGAGCCGCTATCTATGATAGTAGACCGGTACTCGCGGGTTTGGATGGTAGCGGGGGGCCCCGCCGGAGGCTGGTTACTGATGTGAACCACAGTTTATGTGAACCACAAAATATTACTCGGGTGGGTTTGGTCCTTCCTCTCTCCCCTTCGCGCGCGTCTTCGAGGCACAGCTCTCGTCGTTGCCACAGCATGTCGTTCCTCGCACCGTGCCCACGAGACGGCACCAGCTGACCGAGATCGCGCTCCCCGACGGCTGCCGCGTGCCTTACGGGCGGCTTACGGCGCGCTCAAACAAGTGGCGTCGTGGCCTTCTCGCATAATTCAGCGCTGCACAGCGCTGGTGGACGCCGCCTACCCCCCCAGTGGCAAAGAGGCAGACACACACACAAGACTGGCTGCAAAGGATATCCACCCCTCGTCGTCGCCTCGTGAGCCTGCTGGCGGTGTGCAAGAACAAAGAAAACAAAAGCCGAGTTTTGGCTAGACGAGCGACCTACCTCCAATGGGGCTGTAGTCTGGGAACGCGTGGATCCGGCCCGCCCCCCGGCGGGTTACGGTTTAGCGCTGACAGTCAGCCCCATGCGCCATGGGCAGTCCTGGATCACGGGGGATGACATCCTGCCTACCGGCACGTTGGCCTGTACCCATGTTTCCGGAAACCAAAAAGGAAACGAGAGGGTCCCCAGCACTTTTCGTTTCCGGAAATTTCCACAGGGAACGCCAGAGGGTGTTTGGAGAGAGAGATTGGTGCTCCATTCTAGGCTCCATTCTGGCAACTCTCGAGTTTCCCTGTGTCTGAGAGCTGGTCTGGGCCAAAATCTGAGAGAGAGAGAATCTGAGGCGAAACCGAGGAAACCGGCAAAATACCGGGTATTTTCCAGGTATACCCGGGGTTTTCCAGGTACCCGCAAAATACCCGGTATTTTGCCGACCGAGCGAGTCGGCTGATTTTGGGCCCAAACCAGCCTCAGACTCGGTCGGCTCAGAGCCCGTGAAATTGACGATTTTCGCGGAGTTTCCTCGGGAAACTAGAGAGGAAACGAGAGGGTGCTGTAACCCTCCCCACACACTAAGTCGGCATCGTGAGAGAGAATTCTTGATACGAAACCACGACGACACACACCAGTCGACTCGCATCGGTTGCCTCCATGAACGGCGGAGCTATTCTCGCGCCCACACCACACCTGGCTCCAACGTGGACACGCCCATAGCTGGGGACACTACTAGGTCACGCATGGCATCACAGAAGTTTTATCTCTGGGCCCCGAAAGGCATCTCTAGCAGTGTCGTTACACATGCCCCCTCCCCTCCTGGGCGCATGCGCCTCACGTCTCGCCAGAGCATAAGCCCTTGGCGTGTGGCGAGACGAGTTTTTCGCCATCTCAGCGAGCAGCAAGCCGCCCGCCGCAAACAGCCGGAGGCCTCGCCGCGGCACTGGCTGCGCCGCGGTCCCGCACCCGTCGACGCAGCTCCCCCCGCGGAAGACCGCGCGTAGCAACGTCTTGACGATCGAGATGAGCGTGCCTGAAGCTCGCCCACCTACTGCCCCTGAGAGTTGGTTATGAGTGGGCTCGGCTCCCCCCCTTGGGATCGAAGCTTCCACGACCTCACACCCAACACCACAGGTGGGATCAGAGAGAGACTCCGCACCGGACACCGCCCGGGCACAGACCCCCTACCCATCGGATCGCACAGGGCCCCCTCGGAGCAGCCCACACACAATCACGCATCGGCAGATTGAGTGCCTGAGTCAGGCAGACAGCACAGACAAGAGGAGAGAGAGGAGAGAGAGAGAGAGGAGAGGGGAGAGGGTGAGGGTGTGTGCACACGTGTGGAGAGGGAGGGTGTCTGTGGTGGGCTGTAGTCGTACTACGTGGTTAAAACCACGCGCCCCTCAGGAGCTTAAGGTAGAGCTGAGCGTCCAAGACGCCTCGGTGCCACCCACCGGCGTGAAGACCATCCGGATCTACCGAGCTCGTCCTCCGGACGGACCCGTCCCCGCGATGGCCCACGGTCCTCCGTCGCCTGGTTGAACCCCCTGCCTCCCGGTTGACCCCCCAGATGTCGTAGTCCACCATGAAATAAACTCAAAGTCCACCAGCCACCAGCCTCCACCTCCACCCGCGAGCCGCCACCGCTGCCGCCCGCGACGCCGCCCGCCGCGTCAGATAGCCGCGACGCGCGCATCGAGTCGCGTCGGAGAGCCGCGCCGCACCAGCAGCAGCATCTGCACCACCAGCAGCAGCAGCAGCACCACCACCACCACCCGAGAGAGAAGCGCACCTGCCCGACGCCGCCCGCCGCGTCAGACGCTCGCGACGCGCGCGTCGAGCCCAGTCGCACAGCCGCGCCGCGCCAGCAGCAGCATCGGCACCAGCAGCAGCAGCACCACCACCACCAGCAGCAACAGAGACAGTCAGTGCAGGCGCAGAGGCGCTCGCAGAGCGGCGCTCAGCGCCGCGCACGCCACGCTGCGGACCGTCGGACGAGCGCACCGTACGTCGGCGGCGAGCCGCGTCGCCAGCCGTCTCGCGAGAGAGCGGCGCCGCCGCGTGCGCGCAGCAGCCGCCGCGGCAGAGGCGAGCCGCGGCGACGTCCGCACTAACGGATAACGGCCATTGGCGGTTTTCTCTCTCTCTCTCTCTCTCTCTCTCTCTGTCGGCATCGTGTCAAGAGAACCAAACACAAAAGTCGAAAGGCGCATGCCCCGCGGCCAAGCTGCTTCTGGCCGGTGCATAAAGTGCTGGATTCGCACGACGCGACGGGTGGCTTCAGGCATGACCACCTTGTTGGTGCAGACCCCGGTCGACCGCCCTCACCTGCGACTGCTTCTCTTCCCTCACGCCGGTGGCTCTGCCGCCGCGTACGAAGGCTGGCACGACGCGCTCGCGTCGCGCCTCCCCGTGCCGGTCGAGGTCTGGGCGGTCAGTCCTCCCGGGAGAGGCGCCCGAGCCGGCGAGGCAGCCTTCCCCACGGTGGCGGCGCTCGCCCAGGCGGTCCTCTCCGAGCTGGTGCGACTTGAGCTCCACCTCGCACCGCTCGCCGTCTTTGGCCACTCCCTCGGCGCCCTCACCGCCTATGAGCTCGCCCGGAGGATGGTAGACGCACGCCTCCCGCCGCCAGTCTGCCTCTTTGCCTCGGCGCACGAGCCGCCCTCGTGCGGCATGCCCGAGGCGCAGCGCGGGCTCGCCTCCCTCAGCGACGCCGCGCTGCTCCGCGCCCTCGCGGCCTTCGACTTCGTGCCGGTGGCATCCTTGGAAGCGGACGCCGCCGACGCCGCCGAAGTGGCGGTGATAGCGCCGCTGCTCGCCCCGCTCCGCGCCGATCTTGCCATGCGCGAAGCGTACCTCGACGCCGTCGCCGCCGGCACCGCACCGCCGCCGCCGCCCTCGCCGACGTTGCCTCTGCCTGTCTATGCAGTCGGCGGCGCTGCAGACGCCGCCGTGGACGCGGCGTCGCTGCAGCGGTGGGCGGCGCTGGGCAGCGGCGGCGGCGGGTGCACCCAGCTGCCGGGGGGGCACTTTTACCTGCACAGCCGGCTGGGAGGCCCCTCCCTCGCCCCGCTGCTCGCGCTCGTCGCCTCGAAGATTGCCGTCTGTCTCGCCCCGGTGCCGGCCTCTGTCCTGTGCGGCCCGCCCCTCGAGGGAGCGGTGGGGGCGGCGGTGGGGGCGGTGGGGGCGGCGGATGCGGCGGAGGGGGCGGCGGAGGGGGCGGTGGGCGTGGAGGCGCCGCCGGTCGAGTCCCTGTCCCGGGACACGACACGTCCGGGACATGTCCCGTACGTGCACGAGCTGGTGTTGCGCTGGGCCGCCGCGACGCCAACCGCCGCCGCCATCGTCTCCGAGGTCGGGGGGCGGCTCGAGGCGGTGAGCTACGCGGAGGTGCGCGAGGTGGTGCACGCGCTCGGCGGATGGCTCGTCTCGCACGGCGCGGCGCCCCGCGCGACCGTCGCCGCCCTGCTCGAGTAAGCTGGCTGCAGATGCAGAAACAGATCCGACTAGCGCTCCAGACAGCGCTCGAGGGGACACGTGCTCCGCCTGCGTTCTCGCGATCCGCTGGACGCAACTTGCGCAAGCGCTGCACTCGCCTCCTCCTCTCCTTCCTCCTCCTCCTGACTGCGGTGGACTCGCAACGCAGGCACCGCGCTGAGTCTCTCCTCGCGCAGCTCGCTGTCGGCGCAGCAGGTGCCTCCGCCGGCTTGCAGACCGAGTCCCGCCCTCTCCGCACCGCCGCACCGTCACGCAGCGCCACGTTCTTCCGCCACGCAGCGCCACGTTCTTCCGCCAGAGACGCACGCGTCTTGAACCCCACCCACCCACCCACCCACCCCCGCCCCCCCTCCGGCGCCCGCCCGCCCAGGCGCCGCATTCTTCCCGCTCGAACCCCACCTCGGCCCGCGCTCTCTCGCGCAGCTGCTGGCGCAAGCCACGCCGGTCGCAAGACTCACCTCCGCCACACACCGCGGCCGGCTGCCCGAGGACGGCACGCCCACTCTCGACTTCGATCGCCCGGGCTGGCGCGCCGCCGCCGCCGCCGCCGCCGCCGCCGCGCCGCCGC